AATACCTCAAACGATTTGTATTTTGATTCTGCACAAATCTGCATCAAAATATGGAAACAAAATTTTCGATCGATATTTTTCCCATTTTTCTGATGGACCCCCTTCCAAAATGATGATTTTTCATATATGGCCCCAAGATATGACTACATCTTGGCCAATTCGCATCCGATTCTTAAGCGGAAAACCTCAATAGCTTCTGGCTCTTGAGCGAATCGCAAAACATAGTTTTTTTCGATTTTAGATCGAAATTCTTAAACAATTTGTTATAGTTATTTTCTTTGCTCACATACCTGATTGTCGGTTGTAGGAGTTATAAAAATGAATTTAAAAAATTCTTTCCTGTTATAATGTTAAAGTTGACTTCTTTTCAAAAACCAAAGTCTCAAGTATTTGGAGCGGCCATCAGCTTCAAAATGGATGCGTCATTTGATTTCCGGTCCGCCCACTTTCCAAAACCTCCTGCATCGCCAACTTTAATTGCAACGTCTTCCGGCATCGCGATATATGCTTGCAAAAGACCGTAGACGTTTTGCCAACCAGAGTTTTCATTCCCTCTCCTCGAAATATACCTTTGATTTATTTAAATTTATTTTTTTAAAGTGAAAATTTAGTTCAGTTTCTTGGGGACAACAAAATTTTAAATTTGGTCATCGGATTTTAGTTTAGTGCCGCTTTGTCTTGTGTGCCAGATTTGAGGTTAATAGCTTTGATGTACAGCCTTGTAATTTATTGAATTAAGGTTTGTTTTATATATTTTAATTAACTTTATAAAAAAACATAAAACAACTAACTTTATAAAACAAAACTATTATCATCGCATCATGGCCTCTGGCACAAAAATAAAATACGTCGGGTTTGTGTCTTGTCTAGTTTTTCACCTCAGAGCAATGGTTCAAGTTTGCGCTAACGATTTTTGAAGCTTTTTTACTATTTGGTACACTTAAACATTTTTGGATGATTTTCGGTGGACTTATTTAATTATTATTATTAAAAAATATTTATAAAATAACTCTTTCAAAAATGCTTTAAACCGTCTAAGAGATTTCTTGAATTTTTATAGTGTTTGGATGCATTAATTATAGCTCCATTTTATTTGAATCCTTATAATATATCTTACGTGCATTTGACGAGATCCTGGAGATCCTCGGGCGACAGGGCGTACTCCGGATCCAAGGGGACGACATTGCGGCCACGACTTCTACTGCTAAGCTTTCGTCGATGTCCGGATGAAGTTTTTCCGGAACTTTTAACTCCAAAAGGGACACTATCACTTTGAAAACTACTCAGAGGTCGCGGCTCCTCGGCAACGATTAGAGGAGCACTCGCGGTGCGTTCCTCCGGATACTTGACCACCGAAGAGGTAGCACCACCACCGGTCAGCTCTTCGGCCTTGGCCTTCTCCGAGAAACTATCGCGCCGCCAGGAGGGGGTGAGGGTGCGGATCACGTTTTGGGTGTCCGAGAAGCCCTCGTAGTTGTAGCGCTTCCGGAGACTGAGCCCCGACAGATACTCCAATGTCTGCCAGACATTCATTTTGTTCGCACTGTATGACGGCTCCTCGTCGACTGACCAGCAAGCGTTGCGTGCGATCCGTTGGGCCAGGAGCATCGTCACGGTGGCACATCGCTTGCCCGGCGGCGGCGGAGCCCACTCCCGCGACTCGGATGGTGCAACAGTGCCGCTGCCAACGCCCACAACACCGATACCCGCCGTCGCCCCGGCGGCAACATCAATCTTAACAGCTGTGAGTGACATATGCGGAACAGTTTGTTTTGGGTTCCAAAAATTGAAATGTAATTAAGTTTCCGACTCCCACTGCTCTATGTATTAGCGTTTTAAAAACTTCGTCCTCATACTGCCTGCGATGCCGTCGACAACTGAACTTTATATGATGGCAGCACCAGGGCTATCCATCCGTATTCCTATCGGTGTATCCGTATCCGTGTACTTTCCTCCGTGCACTTTCCTTACTCGTTGCGTGGCAGCCACGCGTTCGTACTGTTCTGTTTATTGTATCCATTTTTGCGCCATTAAAAATAATATCATTCTGATTGAGTGACGCGCCGCTTAAGTACTTTCCTCCTTTGTTGTCCTCGCACTGACACCGATTTTCCGCTTTCCCCAAGTCCTTTTTCCCCCCCAAACTCGCTGATTTCCCTTTTTATTGAACACGCAAAGTGTCGGCATTATTGCATCGGTATACGTATACTATGTGCTATAGTATCTCATGCCTCAAACCCAAATGGCTTTTTCATTACCCCGTTCGGTTATTGTTTTGGCTGCCATGCTAGCCGCCACCTCGCACATTGTGGATACGCAGCTCAAAAAGTTGAGTTATGACAGTGCTAATGGAAAGTATACTTTCTATAGTCCTATAGGCTTTCACCACGAAAGAGACCCTTTTCCACAGGAGAAACATTAGCCCCATTTCGAGGGTAGCAATTCATGGTTTTAAAGAGCTTTTAGTTTCCGAAAGAGATATATATTTCTACTTAAGTTCTGTTGTACAAATAAACATAATAAAATAATATAATTTTTTGAACTAGAACTAAGAACATATATCATAAGTTTTATACAAAAAAAATCCTTCGTAGTTTAAACCTAACTTCAAAAACCTAGATAAGTTTCAGCTACCCTCGATTTCTTTCAAGTATCTTAACCTTGACAGCTCCGACAATTCCTGACTTAACCGCCCCCAAAAAGGCAGTCCCTGAAACTTGAGAAGCTTTTCGGCGACCCACTGAGGAGAATAACCAGCCAATTTCCCTTTTCCATCACTCGAGTTCCCCAATTACTTGGTAAAGTTCCGCCGACATCTGATGGCTGCACTTGCTCCCTCACATCCCCTCCATATCCTGGGTGTTCATTTGCATTCGAGAATGCGAGCCATCTATCAAAGGCTTCGTTAGCATCGCGTGACTGAACCAGGCCCGGAAATTAACACCACCCACTCAACTTTTTTGGCCAAAACAACTCCACTAACACCCTCCGGGCGAGAGGGAGGTCCAAGACTTGAGGATGAGAGTAGGATTATATATCTATCATCTTATCAGACGATGTGATGCAATTGAATGTGAGTATTTCCCGTCGCGGATTTAATTGCCATGGAAATATTTCTGGGAGTGGCAGGGCCATACTTTATGAGTACGCCTGACAATTTGATGGATGCAATAAAATATTATGGCCACGGCTATGGCAAAGAATCTTAATTGAATGGCAGCACCAGCGGCTGCACCGGCGCCATTCGGTGTCAGAGCCACTGAACCACCAAAAATACTGAGAAAAAAAGGATGATCTGCCAACAAAACATAAAATGAGTTTTAAATAGATGCTCCTTAAAAGGATTTCCTCGACTATATACCTTATACTTCTTGGATTTAATCTTTATTGACTGTGCTTTAAACTAGACTCAGATTAGAGTGCAAGTTTGTAAAAAAAACTACCTTATGAAATGATTATTTCTCTCTGTGTAGCTATAAACCCAAGGAAAAACACTTGACAACAATCGGAGTTGGCACACGTGTAGCGTTGCCCCCCTGAACCTTCGCAACTCCCAAATGTTTGCAAGTCTTTTGGAATTCTTTGGAAATGTTCAGTACTCACGCAACAATGACATCGGGATCCTCCCACCATTTTTTGTTTGAAGGCTGAAGCAGGAGGCTTACTTGGCGCCAATGGTTCTTGTGAACCACCTAATCGAGAAGTTCAAGATATAAAAATATAGTTTTTTTAAGAAATCCAAAGCCTTACCTTGTACTTCTTGGGATCGTAGGCGTTGTGATCCTTCTCAGTAAAAACCAAACGAGCCATTGTATTGCCTTAAAGGATAATCTTTTATTTTAAAATCCCCCGAAAATGTGTAGTTTTAGGAAATATGTAAATAAATAATATGTTTGCTTGTTTTGAGGGAAGAGAACTTAATTGTTTTTTGTGTAGAGTGACTGAAGATTTGGGTTTGACAACTTTTTAAAATGTTTCTATGGAAAAAATAGTCATTTCCTAGTTTGATAATTTTGTTTAACTGTAAGCCGGTTTGTAAAATATTTTATTGATTAAGAGATAAGATTAAATAATAGTTACTTGCTTAGACTATTTAAATATTATTCCATTAGAAAACGAAAGTGGTTTTGTTTTATGTAATGGATAGTCTAGATTTCTAATGTAGGTGAATTAGAATACACTTAGAATAAAAGGAGTTATGTTTAGAAACCTAAGGTGTATTTGAATGAAGTTCTTCTAGTTCTTAGAATTTTTTCAAGACCCTATACACCCCATATTCTATATATTTTTTTTTTAAATATTGTGCATATTTTTGTTCAAAGTTTTTATAATTTTTTCACACTTTTTTTATAAAATACTTTTATAGAACCCACTTTAGTCTAGCGTTGGTTGCATTTAAAATAAATATGCAAATGAAAAAGTCGGAGACCGAAATGGTTCAGTCTGCCGAGAATTAATTTCAGGGCGAGCTCACTGAAGTGGATTTAATTACATTCAGATGATGAAATTTTAATGGACAGCCAGTGGTGCTGACGCTGGTATAGTATTCTATATAGTGTGGGTCTGCCGGCTTGTAATTTGCCTATCCATTGTTGTTAGGGGCACCCAAGATATACAATATATTATTGAATTATTATATAGAATTCGAGTTATGGAGCAGGTATGTAGGTATATTGATTGTAACCGCTTGAATGGATTGGCCGAATCAAATGCGAACTGTCTTGTTGGCTGGGTCTTGTCAACCGGCGTGGCTAATTGTTGCGCACTTGAATTCTTGTCAATGATCTGGGAAGGTCAAGGGGTTGGGGTTGTGGTACTGGCCAGTGGCTACTATGTCTGTTTGTTCTCTGGTCCAGTTTCCGCATTTGTGCAGCAAACATATACATATCTCACCTAGTCTATCCGCCGACTGGCCTTATATGCTAAATGGAATTATGAATCTCGGAAACCAATCGATCTGGATCGAAACGGAGCTATAAAAGCACTATGGTCGATGGCAGATGTCAGTTAGTTACGTTTCAATCGTTGCTGAGATCACAGAAGCCAACATGAAGGTGAGAAGGCAAAAGATCTATTGGATAAAGTGTATATTCTAAGGGTTCTCAAAAGCCCTTTGGTTCTCAAAAACTTAAACTCGGAATTTTTTCAAAGATTAAGTGAAAAGATCCTGTTAAATGAACTAACTTTTCCCTTAAAATTTTGGTGAAATATTTAGACAAATTTTTTAGAACGTGATTCTACTATTAACTCTCAAAAGATTCTTGACTTAATAGTCAGCTTTCTGGACAAAAATAGCCCGTCTTGGACAATTTCTAATAATAAAAATTATCCAATAATTAATCATCTATTATTTTGAATGCCCCCACAGTTCGCCGTTGTCGTAGTCCTGTTCGCTTTGGCCTGGGGAGTCAACTGCTCGGTCGTGCCCCTGCTGACCGCCGCCCATGGTGGTGTAGTGATTGGTGCCCCCGCCGTTGCCGGTTCCGTGGCCATCCAGGCCTCCGCCGTGCCCGCTGCCGTGCCACTTGCCATCGCTCCCCAGGGACCCGTTCTTATCCAGTCCGGCCCGGCTGTGGTTGCCGCCCCTGCTCCCGCTGTGGTGGCCGCCCATGCTCCCGTCGTCCTGGCTGCCCCTGCCCCCGCCGTGGTTGCCGTCGCTGCTCCGGAGGCCAGCTATGTGGCCAAGACCCGTGGTGCCGTCCATGTGGCTCCCCTGCCCGGACACATCCAGTCCGCTGCCTCCGTCAACCTGGAACCCGCACCTGGAACTTTGTAAATCGACCCACTCCCGAATATTTCCATGAACATGAACGACCCCTGTACTGTACTCGCATCTTTCCTTACTTTTTTTGGTTTTGTTCTTTCACTCCTGGGATCCTCGTTGAGGATCAAATTTCTACAGCAATCTAAGTCAGTCCTATCCAGTTCTAATGCTTTCCGCTTTATTTTCTGGTATACATATTTATCCAACCCACTGTTGTCACCTGGAAATTTGTTTCTTTATAAATAAAACAGAAAAAATGTTGTTAAAACAAAAAAAGGATTGTGATTTTTGCTTCGGGAAATTTAAAAAAATATTAGAAATAATAGGCTTTTGTTTTAGCCCGTAAAGACCGTCTGACCCTCTGAGTTCTTGTTTTGTTTTTGGAGACCACACCTTTGGGCCAACTCCCACAGCAAATATTAAACGTCTTAAATGGTTCACAACAATCTTGATCGATGTTAGATTACAGATGCCAACAATTAATCAATTCCGGGGCCTCGGCTTAGACTTCGGCCCATACATAGGTTGGGGCGTTGACAAACAAAAGCTTTTCCAGAAACACGGCTGCAATGCGGCAGCTGGGCTACTTTGTTGCCAACTCGGTAACTTGGCAGCACACAGCCTTTGAGCCAACCGGCTAACTGGTCTCTGATCTGAAATCGAGAGTCTGTCGCGAACTGGAGCAGGGGCGGTTTGCCTTGATCGCCGCACACTCGCACTTGCAATTATTAATAGAAAAAAAAATGTGTGTGTTTGCAAAAAACTGGATATGGCCCCGATGGAGTTAAGTAATGCCCATGCAAAGTAATGCAGTTCAGATCCGCCTTAACGCCCACTTTGGGGCATTGGGGTTGCTAACAGCCGTTACTATAGTGTTCCTGATTGTTAATTTTTACTTGATTTTTGGCTTTTAAATAAAATAGGTTTTTTATTAGGGATATAAAGAAATGTTTCTTGATAATGATTTCTAAATTATATGTTGTTTAGGACATATAAGAAGATATTTTTTTATTGGAAATTTTATTTTATCAGTAATTAAAATCTCAATAAATAATATTCCCAATAAAAATCATACTCACTTTCATTGCAAACATTTTTTTTGAAGAAAAGCTAGCTTGTTAAAGAAATAGCATAAAACAATGCAACATCCTAGTCATTCTTTAGTCTATTAACTAACTAAAAAGTGTAAAATAAAGTTCTTATTTAATAGACAAACAATTAACCCTGCTTGACTGCTGACTTGATGCCCTAGCAGCTAGGGCCTAGCTGTTGACTGAAAATGGATTTGACCGAAAAACATGATAAGCTAAAAAATTCCGTGGCTTTCAATAAAAGTGTCAATTGGCGCCGGAAAACAGAGAGAGGGTTGAAGGGGCAGGGTAGGGGCCGTAGCAGGGGCAGGCGTTGCTTGGGGGGCCAGCAAGTGGCAGCTAAACAAACAGCAGCTAAACATTTTGCCGCCGTTGTACTGGTGTCGTGTCGGCAGCCAAGCCCCAAAGCAATTGGCCATAAATCTGGTCAGAGCCCAAGTACCAGAGCTGCAAGCCATATAGCCATTCACTTTTTGTTTTTTATTTTATACGCCGTTAAGACCCACTCGTTTTGATTCAAGCCAACCGGCGGCTGCGTTTACGCAAATCTACAACGCATGACGCACCACCATCTATTTTTTCTTTTTTTGTAGGAGTGGTGCATTGCAAGTTCAAGTTTACGCACTTTGTGGCTTCCTGCTACAAACGGGTTCAATGCACCTGGCCTGAACGCACCTGAAACGCACCATTGCTGCTGGCTCTGTTTCTGGTCTGTCACGCATGCGCAGAATCCAGTTCAAGTTGGCCCAGTCTTGTATTTGCTTTGCTTTAGTTTTGGTCTACGCAATTGGAAGACAAGACAAGGCTAAGGTGGTTTGGTTTTTAGTTGGTAAATGATATTGTTACAGGAAATATAGTATTACTTTTAAGTGTTATTACAATGTCTTTAGTAAAGATATATAACTAAAATCTATGGACATTTAGATAATTGTTCTTTTAAGTTATATTGGCAATAGTTTTCTGAATTTTATAGCCCAATAAGGTAGGTTTATATTTTATGTCTTTATTTTTTCAAGTGCCATTGAATGTAATTACTATAGTTTTGCGTGGTCGATGAGTTGTTGAATAAGGTCAGTAGATCAGGAATTGAACAAGCTCAGCAGATCGGAGTGATTCATTTTTCAAAACAACTTCAGCTAGAACTAGGTGGGGACCATTGATTTCCAGTCAAAAAAAGACAAAAAATACGCTACGAATTACAAGTCGAATTTCGTAATGTGGCAAACAGAGCGGCTTTCTTATCCGCACCCACAACTGGTGGCTTGGTGGCCTAAATATAGTACGGCCAACAACCTGTGGCCAAAATATTCGCCGGTTGAGAGTGAGCGACAAGTAACTCTCGTGTTGCATGAACGGCGGCGGCAAACAAACTTGTTGCACACACTCGTTCAGATTTTTGTGATTTTTTCCGCTGGCAGGCAGCAGGCACCTGAACTACTGGGATGGAGATTGGAGATGGAGGAAGGAATGGAGTCCACTTGGCAATCCAGACATTCCGTGCTCGAGGGTTCAACTCCAAAGCCGCTACTTGCTAACGCCATAAACACACTAACCAGCCCATATTATGGCAAGAACCCGGTTGAATTAGCAACAAAAACTGTTAGTTGTGACAAGCATGGCCACAAAAGTGGTTAATTATTGACTCGCCTAATGACCATTAAGAGTCCGCTTAGCATGCTAATTGTAATTGGATTAATTACCCCAACAGATCTTGATCAGAGTGCGGGCAGCACTTGACCAATCGATTACGTTACGATTCCAATTGCATCATCAAAGGCATAACTATAGCCAAACCAATTGGCCAAAAATAAAAATAAAGGCATACAGCCTTTTGGAGGCCGCCCACTCGAAATTCCTTAATAGAGTCCAAGTGTGATTGCCTATGCAAGTTGGCTTAAAAATTCATTTAGTTTGAATTACAATTTAAAAATTGGTAAAAGATTAGTTGGTAGGCACTTGAATGCTCTCTGATAAGAATTGTTACTGTTTTACTATATTATTTTTATATATTTGACTTCGAAGGATCTATTATTAATTATTACTTTTTTATTAAAATGAAATATTAAGTGGACTTATTTGCTATTTCTTTAAATTATTTACCACAACTAGTACCTAGAATTATATAAAATATAATTTATAAATTTTTCTTTCTTTTAAAATCAGTCTTACCTTTTGGAATTTATTTACCTTGTAGAGTATTAAAACCAAATTAAATAATGAGCTGCAAGCCAAAGGTGTTGCTGGTGTGGGTGGCTGGAAATGCTCAGCTTGTTACCAAATTTTGGCAACCAAATTCACAGTTAACCGAGCCGAGAGCTCACCAGCTCGTGGCAAGACCCCTCCTTCTATGAGTTCCAACTTGCAACAATCGGCAGCCGCCCCAAATTGAATTCAAGCGTGGCTAACATTGATTTCCACCAGGTTTTTCCCTCTCTTCCAGCCTGGCTTCTACTACCTCCCTTCAGTCCACATAATTAGTTTTCATTCTTTTTATGCGATTTTAATACGGAATCAACATTCATCTGGCCAAAAGTGGGCGTTGTCTGTGGGGTTGTGGGGCGAGTGTGATAAGGAGCTGGATTTTATGGTGCGCCACGGCGGCCTCAGCATGATGCAATCGGGCTGTGATATTGCAACAAAGGCAGGTTGCTTTTGTTATTAAAATGCCATTAAAATTGGGCCAAACGTTAAATTTGAAATACAGTGGAGCATATGGAAAAATGGCTATTAAGATTCTATAAATTAGTCAATGTTGGTGTTGCAATTTTGAAAATGATTGAAAAAAAAATGCCTTCAATCCATACCCTTCTTAACATGAAGTACCCAATAACTCCAGGCTCACTGTATCTTTTTTGGAAAGACAACTGTAGCTGCCATTGTTTGGCTATATGAATTGTGCAACTGCCACCGTGTCAATCCGATTTATCCCACTTGACCGGACCACCCGCCCGCGGTGTCCACTGTCCGAGCCGTTTAGGAACATAACGCTTTGCCGCTTGGACGCCTGCGTTCGAGGAATCGCGAGGTTTCTGGCCAAGATCAATGCCAGTTTGCCCTGAGCCGAGTGCGCTGCTCATTTCGAACCAATGGTTCTACGGAATTCCAAGGCGGGGCTGAAATAAATGGCCGGAGTGGGAGTTGTAATGCTGAACTGTGTACCGCTTTATTCAGTTGATAGAGTTATAGTTGGTGCTGCAGCACCACCTGGTCACAGAAAATATATGAATGCAAATATTTGCATACAAAAACGCAAAAATAAGGAAAACAGAGTCGCGACACCAGTCTTTAGACCTTGTAGCCGACAAAGTGACGGCGTCCGATGACCTCGCCCATGTAGAACCAGGTGATCACTTCGACGGTGACCAGGATGTTCAGCCAGGCATCTCTAACCTTAACCTGGCCGAGGCCGCCGAGCTTTTTGCCTTGTCCTTTGGCATTTTTGGCCTCCTTGGCAGTGGCCTCGGCAGTTTTCTTCAGCTTCTGAAAATCTGCTGGCATCGGTGGAGTTAGCTCCACTTTGGCATACTTCAAGAATTCCTCAAACTTCGGTTTAGCAGCCACAGCGAGTTCTTAAAAAATTTCACATTTTATTCACGCATTCTATTTTTAATAGAGGTCTACTTACGGTTGACCAGTACTTTGGCCTTTGCTACTAATCCAGCCATCTTGTAGAGTCCGAAAGTAAATCAGAAATGAAGAATTCCGTAGGATTTTATAAATTTTTGTTGGCGTACGGGAGTACAAAGTTATCGAAAGCCGAATTGTCAAGGGACAGTGTTTTGAAGTTTCCCAAAAGGGCTGCTTTAAACTAGACGATTTTTGATCATTTCAAGTTACTTAACACTATAAAAAAAAGGTAGTATTGTTAGAAATATAAAATTTTTAAATAATTTGAAGTTAATTAACGATTATATTTTAATGTGCAAAAGCCCACACCATTATACTTTATGTGCCAGATGCAGAGCTAGGAAAATTTGCATAATTGCCGACTAGTCGAAAATAACCTGCACCAATTACTCGATTTTTGTGGCGATAAACTGACCAATCATTTGAAAACCGACAAGATAGTTATTACCAGAGCATTCCCGCCCACTTGCCGCGGCAAGACAATGGCTCAAAATAGAATATAAAATGCAAAAAAAAGCCAAAACACGCCCTAAAAAATTGGCCTGCATTGTTTGTGCCTGTCGGTCTGGTCATCGTAATAAAAAATCTCAAAAATAATGCAATAATACAGCCAGTATTTCACCATCAACTGGGTGGATTTCTTGGCCATAATGCATATTTTAGGCAGTCGGGTTTGTTAATGAAGCTCTAATAGAACCACCATCATACTAAGTCCGAGGTGAAGGGCTCGTTCTTCAACTGAAAATTGCTCTGGTTTTTTATTGTTTTGTCACATAGTTGATCTAATTGCCCCAGTTAGACGAGTATGACATTCCATTAAGACCCGTTACGGCCCTATGCATAATCATATTGGATGTGATTAATGTTCGTATATATACTTTTTCCACAGCTGTCCATTTCAAAATGGATTCAAAGTCTCACGCGAATATTCCAGCACATTTGGCCAGTTTGACACTCTGACCTGAGGTCTGAAAAACGTGGCTAGCTTTTTGATCTGTAATTGGTCAGGGATTTTAGCCCCAAACATGGAAATGTAGACCAACAATTCGTATTGCTATTTTGCATTTTTATTGTTTGCCAATGCTGACAGCTTTTGATTATATTTATTCTTGGGCGTTGCCCTGATCATTGCCTTCCTATATTTGACGGAGCAACGGGCAGCGAAAACAAGGCAAAAACTGCAAAGGCTAATTGTTTATTTAAAACACTGCGAAAAACTGAGGAATTTCAAAATATTTAAACATCATCACGGAACTACTGACGTCAATAATGTATTTTTTTGCTTAAATTTAAAGATTAAGAGAAATGATTGAAAATATGGAGGGTTTGGTGCCCAAATTCTTGAAAGAAAAAATAATAATATTTAGGTGCTATTCCCCTTTTTTTCTAAGTGTTTACTAATACTTAAGCTATGTTTTAATCGATTTCCTAAATGCTTTTACAGCTGACTGGCTTTTTGGCATTTATAACTTAATTATTATATTACTTCTTTATTATTAAATTAATTTAGACATTGCAAAAGTAAAGTTCTTAACCTGCCTTGGACTGCAAACCATTGCAGTGTAGGCACGCGACTTTATTTTGCTGAAATTCCTTGCCCCAAGTAACAAAAAATAAAAAACAATATAATTGCAACAAAGAATTCTGAAAGCTAATGCAGCAACAACTGGGCTCTTTGTGGCATTGCAAATTGAATGCTTTGGGCCACATGCTTATGACTTTTTAAATGTGTTTGTGTTTTATCAATATAATTTGGTGTTTGTGGCAATTTTCAGGCCGATTGATTGAGCGAGCCGATTGTGTCAGTTGGATTAGTTGTATGTATTTGTGTTTTACCCTCGGTTTTAAATTCTTGTTTTAACGGTTGTACATGGCTAAAATGGATTTTATAAGCCTTCTTTTTATAGAGCCTGAAATAGATTTATTTAATAATATGCAGATAAGTATAATAGAGAGATTCAGAAGATGGTTATGATCAGGATATTAAGGGAAGATGATGGTTCAGAAGATGGTTATGATCAGGATATTAAGGAAAGATGAAATTTAGAGTTAAATGTTGGAAGTTGTATATTTCAATATTACATTTTTGTACATTTTCAATATATTTTATGTTTTTAAAAACCTGATAAAATTACTAGGGTATAACTAGTAATAATTTTATAATTTTATAAAAAATTAGGGTATAACTTGAGCTCTCTAATAAAACTCTTATAAAGAAGCTACAATTTTTCTTTTGAATTTATAAGAACTTAAGTAGTGGTACCTAGTTCCCACTTAAGGTAGCTTTACTGTGGTAATTTGCGCAACCATTGACGCCCGCCGCCCCTTTTCCGGCAGCAAGGAAGAGATTGGGGGTGCGGTGGGTAGGGTGGGTGGCAGACTGCAGCCGGGTGCAGGAGGAGCAAGAGGCAAGGCGACACCCAAGGCAGAGATCTTCAAGCAGCTGGTCAGTGAAAGGCCAAAACCCGGAGCGAATCTAACAGTACTCCAATTCTGCTCAAGACTTGGGCGTCGGCGTCTCTACAGCAGAGCCCTCTCTTTCTATGCAATTCTCCTCTCTTAGCCATTTTTTTGTTGCTATGTTTTTTTTTGTGATATATTTTCTCGACTTGGGGGCAGGTTTCGGTTTCGTTTTTGGTTTTGAATTGGAAAAGCAAGCAAAGTCCGTGCCAAGCTTTTCGTATATAAGTTGCCACAATTTGGTAGTCGAAATCAGAATCAACTCGTTCGCTGAGTATTCAACAACCACTCTTCCTTCAACCTCACTTCAAAACCCACCCCAAAACAACCAACATGAAGGTAAGGATAATCGAAGGATATAGGCGAGATGACTCAACCAACAAGACATTTTTGAATTTATTCTAAAAATTTCAAAAACTGTTTCTAAAACAAAAAATATCAAGGATTCTGATCAAAAGATTAGAGATTCAAAAACCTATCTTGAGCAAGATTTTTAATGAAAATCATAATTTTCCAGTTCGCCGCTGCCGTAGTCATGTTCGTGTGCGCCCTGGTCGGAGCTCAGGCTTCGTGGAATGTGGCCCAGATTGCCCCCGGTGTCTCCTATGTGAACTCCGTGGCCCATGGACCCGGTCTGTGGGGTGGTGCCTGGAACGGAGCCTGGAACGGTGCCTGGAATGGCGCCTGGAACGCACCTGCCGCCGTCGCCGTCCACGCTAGCGCTGCTCCCTGGGGTCTGACCGCTCCCGGATGGCACGGTGCTTCCATTCCCGGAATTGCCCTGGCTCAGGGTCCCGGACTGGCTGCTGCTGCTCCTCTGGCTGGCAAGCTCCTCGGACACGAGGGTGTCTATGTGGCCAAGACCCGTGGTGCCATCCACACCGCTCCCCTCGCCGGACACATCAACTCTGCCACTTCCGTGAACGTGGCCCCTGCTCCCGGAACCCTGTAAGTTGGACGACAACCACCCACAGATGCCAAATGGAGCGGCTGGACGGCAGGATAACCACTGATCTCCAACTGCTTCAGCGACTTAGCCACGACTCCAACCGGATTAATCCCCATCTCTCTGTACACTTATTGTTAAGCACACCGCTCTTAGTCCCCCTGATACGAACACGATCCTGATCTTGGATCTGGATATATACTTATTAATATATATTCGATTCAACGCACTCAGCAATATAAGTCCAACAGCAATTACAACAACTACAACAAACCAACAAACGACAGCATGTTAATTTTATTTTTTGAGAACTATTCTTCAAATGCTTCCCATCTTCTATCCAAACTGTATATCTCTCTCTCCTATCCTATCACTATGACTACACCTTTCTGTATCTATCACTTTCTGGCATATCCCTAGTTCCGGGCGATATGTCCTGTCAACCTGTATATACCCCATTGTACTTTAGTAATCTGCAACAATGTAAAGATTGACGAAAGCGTTATAAATAAACTCAATCAGCGTTTTTTATACGAATAATATTTGGTATTTTTTTCAAATTTTGGGGGGCTTTTAATATATTGCAAGCAAAAGTCTTGCATTGAAATATAAAACGGACTTGTTTTATCAAAAATATTTTCTTTTTTTTTAATTCTAAGAATTCAGGAAATTCTTAAGTCACTTCACATACTTTATTATACTTTAATATAATTCACATACTTCACATACTCGCCTCTTAATCCTTGAAACTTCATAAAGCTTAACAGTCTATAGATCATAATGAAACTTCCAGAAATCCGAGTTCTTTTCAAGACAAAGCACTTAATCGCACCTAGATCGGAATCTAATTAAATCCAAACTAAATCATAAAAACCTATATTAGATAATTATAACCTTGGGCCATTGTTGCACCTGTTCGACCTTGAAGTGCCGACAAATTGTACAATTGATTCCATATCTGACCAGAATTGTCTTTGTCTTTCGATTTAAGGTGCTTATTTTAAGTATGTCTTTATTATTATAGTATAGTCTAGTGGCAGTCCTAATTTGTTTGGCCATATTAAAGCACTGCTGAACGGTAGTCAAGTTGGGGGCCAATGGTCATTAGATCGAGTTAATTGGAGCGCACTCATAACGTCTGGGTGTTTGATCGTGGCACGTATTGGGAGCACAGGGCGTATGCTTAATTATGCAAACGCTTAGCGCTAATTACAGATCGCACAAAGACCAAGTTTTGGTCACTGAGACTAGCCCAGCATTCACAGTGCCAGTCACACAGTCAGCACCTGTGCTTCAGGTACAACTAAATAATTGCCATATTGAGTAAATTATAGTAGCCGCTAATTACAGATTATCATCGCATCGCAAGAATTCAACTTGAACTTATTCCATTAAATATTCTCTCTTTTTTTTGGTCAGATGTAGATTTTTGTATTAAGCGCCCACACATTCCATTGAAAACCAGTTGCTTAACATATTTTTTTGGTCCCGGCTTTTTTCGGCATAATTGAATTGTCTTTGCTGGGCTGCATTTGCACTAAAGTTGGCTTAATTGCTGCACCTAATGGTTTTGCCATAGATTTATGTGGGCCGCTCCAGGCCAAATGACACCCACACTTCCGATCCATTTCAGCCAGGTGAACGTTGTGCAATTTCTGTCAATTGCTGAAAACCATTAGGTAATTGTTGGGGAAAAATCATTAAGGAAATGAGTTGGTAGCAGGGATATAAAATGGAATATATTCTTACACATCTCAATATATGTTATTTTTTTTTACTTAGCATCATGTTCTCAACGTCAATAAAAAAGAAATTTGTTGTATAATCATTTGCCAATAAATATATATTATTAGACCACAATTTAGTAGGCGGTTCAATGCATGGCATTAACCCTTAAGACACATAAATCAGTTATTAGACGGCCTTATACAGGATACCGATCGCTCCATAATTGGATTCGTGTTATAAATCATACTGAAATGCTAATCGGGCACAAACAACAATTAAGTAATTAAAGTGGCAGTGTGATGGAGTGAAAATCAACTTACCGGAACTGCAGCTTAAAAGTGGGTTGGGCCACTCACTCAGATAGTTGGACCCACATGGTGGGTTACATGGTTACAGCGATGGAAACCACACTCACCGATAATGCATTTTTTCAAGGGGCGGTGCAAGTTCTCAAGTGTTAAGATAATTTTTTTAGAGAGTTAGTTCAGGGAGATTGTCATTTTAACTACCTATTTTATTTTCCGTACATTTCCTACTTAAATTTTATAAAGATTTTCTAATAAAAATAAATTCTTTTGTCTAAAATACAAAAAGACTTCAATGCTCTGTAGTCTAATGACTTAATAACACCTTTTTTTATTTTATTTTCAATAAGTATAACTGATTTTTTATTTAATGAAAATTTCCTGAAATGGCTATATAAAAAAATATTGCCTATAGAAATCATATATTATTTTTAAACCATTTTATTAATCAGTATTTATTAATAGGCTATTAAAACTATTCAACTAGAACTAGTTCCTTAAACCGACTGCTGTACTTGAGAATTGTTTCGCAGTCAAGGCATTTGGCGTCATAGCCGTGAGATACTACTGCCGATAGATCAATCCAACCCGATCCGATCCGCTCCGATCCGACCTGAATCAGAGCCGAGGCATGTCATTAACGCTGATCATATGCATGCGGAGCAGTGTCAATAGTGTCCACCGTGTCATGGTGTGTGAACTCTCACTTTCATGAACCCTCCAACATGTCTGGGCTTTTTGTTTTTTTTTTATTATTTTGTTCTGCGAGTGATGTGGTCAGCATGTGGGGTATATAACTGGCCGACAGTGCGGCTAACAAATCAGTTCAGAACAAGAGTTCACCAAGAGCACCAACCCAAACAATCAGCAACATGAAAGTGAGTCCTCACAAAAACATTAAAGGATTACTTGTGTGATCCTTTGGCAAGTGGATAAGAATAAGAAAAAGTTTAAAAGAAGTCCTTTTACAAGTTTTGGATATCCCTATAAAAATGTATTAACAAAAAAGCTTTAACCCCAAGGGTCTAAGTGAAAAATCCGAAAAAGAACCAAAAGTTTTCTTAAATTTTATTATAATTTTTGTGAGTATAATTTATAAAGTATATTCCCTAATATTTCAGTTCGCCATCGCCGTTGTCTTCACTCTGGCCCTCGCCATGGGCGTGCAGTCGTCGGTGATCCCTCTGCTGTCCCAGGTGGCTGGTCATGGACTCTCCTACACCGCCGTCTCTGGACCCGCTGTGGTGGCCTCTCCTTGGGGTGTTCCGGCCGCCCACTGGCCCGCCGCCGTGACCGTCGGTGCCTGGCCCCCAGCAGCTATCCATGCCCCGGCCGCCGTGGCCGTTCATGCCGCTGCCCCTGCTGTTGTGGCCGCTGCCCCAGCTCTCGCCGTGGCTCCGGTTGCCCATGAGGGAGTCTACACCGCCCAGACCCGTGGCGCCGTGCACACCGCTCCTCTGGCCGGACACATCCAGTCGGTGGCTTCCATCAACGCTGCCCCCGCTCCCGGAACCCTGTAAATGGATTAATTTCGAAAGAAATTGAAACCCTTTGCCGATTGGACCCACGCCTCTGCCTTGGAAACTGCCATTTGAAGGGGGAACCCTCCCTTCAATTTGTTTTGTAAATACTTGTACATATATTTTGATATATATAGACAGGGTACTCGCACCTAGCACCTGAACAGGAACATCCAAAAAACAGATCCATCCAAATTCCCTTTCGAATCCTAGCACTCTGCCACAGTCACCTTAGTGTCTGTCTCTATCTCTCGCTTAACTATTTATCTAGCATACATTTTCCAAGCATTCCTGTGAAAAATACACTGAAAACTTTCCTTTATAAATGGAGTGTAAAAGCATTCTGTTGAGAAATGTTTAAAGTTGTTGCAAAATAAAGAAAATGTAATTAAAGCTATAAAGTTTCGTTTCCTTTGGGGTGTGAAGCATAAATACAAAATTTCTTACTATATATGTAAATAGTTGAAGAGGAAACGTATTGCATTCTAACATTTAATATGAAACAAGTTATATAAAAATTGATAATTTTCTTGTAATACATGCACATATGTTGGACTCTGATCAAATCAAACTTGTCTCTGCTACTAATAGATCAATTTATTGAATAATTGGTTCCACTAAAACAAGTTCAATGCTTACTGCCGATGGCTCAAGAAACCCGCTACTGAGTTGAACATTCCCCAATACCAATTTGTATACACAGTCCGTTGGCTTTTAAAACTATTATCCCCACACGCCTCTCTATATACGAATGGATACATTTGATTGATTCATTGACTGAAATTGTCACTTCCAACGCTGTTACGGTTACGGCTGCCACTTTCCATAATAATAATCCAAAGTGTCGTTAATTGAATTGAAAGCTAAAATGTCAAGTTCATGCGCATGCGCAAAGTCTCAAGCTGCGTTTTCTTATTTTTCCTTTTTTTATTTGAATGCAAAATGCAGACCACAAATCAAATCAAGCCACTCCTTCACACACTTGTTTTGTAGCTGAGGTTTCTATTTTTCCTGCTACAATTGCGTGATTTTATTTCAGATTCCCCCCGGCCCGCATTGATTTTGATTTTTCCCACTTCAGGTTCCAACTGCGGATTACAAAGTTTAGCGCTTGTTTTTCATGTTTTCATGTTGCGCCTTTGTTGCCGCATTTGGCTGTTGAATGTGCGTCAGTGTATCAATAACAACAGACCGCCCCAAAGGGCACCGACAAAAAATATGTCTAAAAACTAAGATTATTATCTTAAATATTTTAAGATAAAATTTAGATCCCTAAAAGGTTTAGGTTCTTATATCCTGTAGAATAGTTTATAATTTTTTATTTTTTGAGTATATATTTTAGCTATTATTTTTTCAGTGCATCATCTTGCCATCGACTGTATTGAACTGACTGCCATGATTTATTGTACGCCGCCGGCCAAGAGTCAAGCGTCAATCGTGTCGACAGTCTCCGTTTCGCCTTACCTGGAGCCCAGCTCGAAAATGGCAAGAAATTTCCTACTGGGCTTCGTTTTGGCAATAGCCGGTAATTTTCTAACAAAGAGTAAATCATACAAAAGTCACCGGGTCAAGACGAATTTACAAAGCACTTGTGTGTAAAAATAAATTCGCTGTACAAAGTAGTTGCCTATTAAAAGTATTAACTATAAATATTATTAAAAGTCATGTTTAATTTAAACAAAAATATATTAAAACCCAATAAAAAAAAGTAAATAAATTTATGGTTTTCTTATGTTAGGATTTATGTATAGTGTTTTATGTATAAGTATGATTTTAAATTAATGCAAACTTATTTTTTATTAGAATACATATGTTTTCAAAATAATGAAATAATAAAGAAATTTTTTTTGCAATAATTTATAAATATAAAGATTTTATTGTGCTTCATTAAATAAAACATCCTTTAATACTTTTGAGAAATGCTTAAGTATCTTTGTAAATATAGATCCCTTGAGTCTAGTTTCCATCTGAATTTCTGACTCACTTCACCAGTAGAGCATTTATAAAGAAACCATTCCTTTTGCCAACTCTCTTTCTCTCTGGGCCTTTCCCATTTCTCCCGAAGAGCAGCAAAAAACGGCTTAAAGCTGCGATAAGAGTCGTCGGCAATGGCAAAAACAACATTTCGCATTGGTCTGACATTCGGCGACTATCTGGCTGAGTTTTCACTCTTCACTTTTCAGTCGTTGGCTGGCAGACGACCGACAAAGAGCGTCGCCGTCGCCGCACACACTATATACACCTCCGATTCGGATTCGGATCGAAATTCGGACTGTTGTTAGGCACTCGCGTAGTGCAAATTTTGCAGGAGTTTTGTGCGTGATTTTGCGAAAAGTGTCGCCGGAGCTAGATAGAAAAGTGCATTGTCCGCAGGTGCAGGCATGTTTTAGATGCCAGTGATTGCCAACGGATGATAAGCAAATGCATTGAGTATGAACGGCGCCAGTGTGATTATCTATACGTTGTATATGTGCATTTTTTTGTTTGTTATAAGAAGTAAAGGGTGGAGCTGGCAGGCGTGTGTAGGAACTGCCCACGGATTTGGTCAACACTTGAGACGCCAACCATTTGCGTCTCTGGCTGGCAAACAAATAATATGTATTTAAGCAGCCACTGAAAATTATTTTCAAAGTCTTTTTTATTTAAAAAAATGTTTAAATATTATTTATTAAAATAATTACTATAAAACATGAAAATCATTAAAATTGAATAATTTTTAAATAAAATTAAACATTCTTTTAAAACTTATACCCCGTTTCTCTGAGCGTATACTTCATATTTGGTGTGTGCTTTCTTCTTGGCCATTTCAAAGCAATTTTTTTGTGGCTTGCAAATTTATTGCGCACACTTGAATGTTTGTTTGTAAACATTTCGATTCGGCTAATTGGACACGTTCATCGCATTCGGTGCAGTCGCTAATTTACTCATAAACGGAGCCACACCACACACCCCGGCGACGTCATCGGCATGAGGCCGAAAAACGCGTAAACCAAATAGAAAAGCTGAAATGTCGAAAAACCGAAGGCTGAACCCAATAAAGTTGCTCATTACACAATGCTGACGGTTCAAAACAAAAAACAGCTGATTTTCGCGCTCTCGTTTACAATGTCACCCTTGTCTCACACCCCCTTTTTTTATCGCATTTACTTGTTGAAATGCTTTCGGCAAAGAGAGAATCCCTGTCTGATTGGCTCTCTTTTGGGCTAACGCTGCGTATGAGCAATGTCAAGTATACGCCCCGAGGTCCGAGCACCGCAAAGCAGTGCGAGCGAGGGCAGAGAAGAAGGGGAACTGCAGCATCAGCTGTCCATTGCCCCCGTGCGTTTCGTCCGGGCTTTTGTTTTTATTTTCATTCTCTCTTTTGAAACAAAAACAATATATTCCGATGCGAGTGGATTCGATTTTGTTCGATTGCTTTGTGTCTGAAAATGAATTTCCATTTGTTTTGCTTTCCCGTTCACTTGGAATTTTTCTTTGTTTCAAGATACTGATAATAGATACTGGGCTATTTGCAGATACGTAGAAATCTATAGCAGAATGGCTAAGCATAATCTATAGAACAGTGGGTTAGATTGTTTTTTGGTGAGCTTATAAATGTATTTCATGAACAGATAATATTAAGAACACGAAAACGAATATGAAAATATAAATACTTGAATTAATAATTCAAAATATCTTTGTAAAACAAAATATATTATTTTTTTAACATTAATTGAAAACAATTAGTCATTTTTCCAATTTTTTATGCGGTTTTGTAAGATATTAGAAAAAATACACAAAAACTTTGCATAGAAAAGTTCCTATGACACAATAAAAATGCTTAGATATTTATTATAATTAATTTTCTCCCCATCTTGCCCCACTGTCTTTCTCCCATAATCATTGCAATCGCTCTCACATACGCATGCATACAAAAGAAAGAAAAAAAAAAAACAAATTATATACGTAAAAGACGTCTGTATATATTTAATTAAATTCGTGATTTGTTGGGGGTCTTTGTTGTTATTGTTGGTTATAATTCTATATCACTTCTCATCGGGTGAGTGCGGCAATCGCTATGGCCCATCATTTGCCACTGAGCAGGCATCGGAGGCGATTGTTTGCCGGGGACTTGGAGCTCGAATCGGTTTTAATTTGGATTTAATGTTCAGTGTCCGGGGTGAAGTGTCGCATCGTGACGCGCGTCTCTCGATTTCAATTAGGCCCGCAGCTATAAGAGCAGCTTATTATTATTAAGTCTTTTAGAAGATTATCTGTGCCCGGGATTTCCACATACTTCACAAGTGACCCAGAAAAAAGCGACTGAGAACTGGGTCAGAGTGCCAAAACGAGCAGAATCCAGTGAAGAAAGAACAGAGAACTATTAGCTGCGAAAAACGGCATGAACTTGAAGTTCAGTGTGTCTATTTTTAAAAAATAATTGTTAAAACAATCAAAGCTGAGAATAAAGTTTAAATCTTGAACCCGGTGGCCCCTGGATGAGCCCATCATGAAAGGCATCTGCGGTGAGCAGTTCAACAATTGCCTTCTGGTGGGGGATTGTGACGACAGTGAACATGGAACACCAGGACTGACAGGAAATTATCCCGGAATCGTTGCCCTGGACCAGGAGGAGGCCGGTGAGGGCATTAACGGAGAGGGTGGTGCCCTGGCCTTTGCCGCACGCCGGATTCGCAACCGGCAAGTGCACAGCATGGCCGTGAGGTCCGCCAGTGGCTATGATACCCTGGAGCGTCCCTATCGACATGACCAAGCCCGGGGTCGATGGTCTAAGGCGGCGGACTTTTACTTCGCCAGCTGTACACATGCCTTTAATCCCCTCATGTTCTCCGAATACCCCACCTTTGGATTACTACAGGGTGGCTGGAGTAAGTACACTAAACATAAACAACAACAAACTTGAATCTAATATAATTTTTAATTTGAGCACTTCCGATTCCATTGTCATTACTTATCAATTTAATTCAATTAAAAAGACAAAGGTTATCAACCAAAGGCTTTTTAATGCAATTTTTTACAAACAATGTTCGCATTTTAAAAGCGATAAGCTAGAACTGTCATCGGTTGACCGCAAAAACTAAATTAAATATCCCTGAATCTAAGATCTGTTAATAAAACTATCATTAGTTGGGAGGCGATTACAGGTTACTATGAGATTTAATCGCAAGCAATTGTTGGTTATTAGTTAATGACATAAATGGCAAGCATATAGGGGAATTGATCTTATATTAACTAAATATTTAAGATAACTTTCAACTAATTACTGTGTCTTTATATAAGATAAAAAAGTAATTATATTACTCATATTTGTAATCTAAGAAGTTTTTAAAAAGAATGCAATGTTATGACTAATGTTTAATTACAAATGTTTATTTTTTTCTTTAGTTTTGTTCATAGCAGCCTATCTGTTGGGAATGATATTTTATTCGTTGCCCTTGTTTCTGATCCAAGCATTTCTGGGGCAATTCTCATCTTCCGGATCCATTTCAGCATTTCGCGTTGCGCCAATATTCAAAGGTTGTAAATTATTCAAGCTTAGTTTTCAAATAAATATTAATTTATTAATCATTTTTAGGCATCGGGTATTCTATTTTGTTCCTTAACCTGGGTACCCTAACTTATTACAGTATTGGAGCCGGGGTGCCCCTCATCTTTGCCGTGAATTCCCTCCATACTGTGATGCCCTGGATGAGTTGCAACAATACATGGAATACTCCAGATTGTTCAACGCACGACAATTACGATATTAACGTAAGTTTTTCATATATTTACTCGTGGATATTGAGAAGCAATTATTTATTGAATTCAGGAGGACTATGTCGATCCCCATTCCACAGTTGAGTTTTTTAGGTAAGCAAATAATACGTTTAAATTATATAATTTAACTAAACATTTTTCTATAATCTTCTATAGATCAGTTATTGCCTCAACTGCAACAGGATCTACCTCTATGACGATATCGCTTTCAATGCTCGTAGCTGTTCTGGCCATTTGGGTATTAGCTTTGGGTTTAATACTCAAGTCTGTTACTTTTGTAAGTATGATTAAAAACTAAATCAAATACTTAAATTATTGTGTTTATCTTTTGATGGCAGATTGGAAAATTTTTGCGTTGCGCTTGTGTCATAATGTTTAGCTTCTTTTTGGCCATATTCTTATACCTTGTGATTCACGAAGGAGTCAACTTCGACACGATGCATGATAACCTGAAACCCTCACTGGATAGCTTCCAGAGTCTTTTTGGCGTAACACGTACTGCCTTTCTGATGTCGGGAGTGGCCCTGGGTCCCGGATGGGGGAGCGTCATCACCTTGGCGAGCTACAATAGTTTCCGCAGCGATGCCGAGAGGATGAGCTTTTGGGTCTGCATTACGCATGCTGCGGTAGGTTTCCTGGCTCTGCTCTGTTGCAATGTGGCCCACGATCATTTTGAGGGTAAGTTTTTGTTAACTTTATTTGATATCATAACAGCAAAAACATCTTTTTTCAGATCACGTCGGCATGCTGCCTTATCAAGTGAATGAGAATCATTCCTTGCAATTTCTATATCTCTGCTTTTCCTATTTACTCGGTCGCTTTACAACGACACCGAATCTATGGGCTTTTCTTTTCTTTAGCATGATATTTTTATCAGAGTTTTGTGCCTTGGTGAGTCTTTTTTAGAGTATAGTTTAAATTTTAGAAACATTTTTTCTTTTTTATTTAAAGTTAATCCAAATGATGTCAATATTGACGGCACTTTTTGATGAGTTCGAGTTCTTGAGAGCGAAGAAAACACATATTGTTTGTTTACTGGTCCTTGTACTTGCAGGGTCATCAGTGTTTTTTTGCACACAGGTATGTATACTGACCATATATTATTAATGTAGGATTTATTATAAAATCTAAAATATAATTATTTTATTATAAAATTTAATATAACTCAATTTCAGCTTGGATTTAGTCAATTTACGATACTTCCAAACTTGGCCATGTTCACCCATATTATTATTTCGGGAATATTGGCTCTAATGGTTACCTGGGTTTATGGACGAGTACGTTTTCAATGCGATCTGCAGTTTATGCTGGGAAAAACGATCTCAAGTGTCAAAATATTTTTTATTCGAATCGCTACACCATTTTTTCTCAGTTTATGTTTGGTGAGAAATTTTTACAATTTAAAAGAAAGTTGTTTTAACTGATTTGTTTGTTTTATTTTAGATACAAGTATGTTTCTTTATTGATTTACATGAAATACATCATCTCCTGATTTGGATTAGTCAGGGATTGGTCTTAACGATGGCCCTTTCCTATATGGTTTATAAGGTGACCCAAACAAACGGCAGTTGGCGCCAAAGAATCCAACAGTGTTTAGCGCCACACGACTGGCATCCGGTGGATGCGGATAATCGACGTTTCTACGAGGAAATCATGGGCATTTCCGAAATGCTAGTGATCGATACCAATGCCAATACCACATAGTGCCTAACAAATTTCGAATACTCTAAGAATAAAAACAAAAATCATAAAAAAACTCAGCACTTAATGGTAAAAGCTGAACTGAACTGAACTCACTTTTATTATACACTCATACAGACACACACACACACAAAAACACGCACACTAGTATATGTATAAAGATCAAGTGCAATTGGAGATTGTTGATTTTTGAATAAAGTTGTACTGATATTTTCCAAATGCCTAGCTATAGAAAACAGTAAACTGGTGATATTTAGTAGTTGCCTACTTAAAAGTTTAACAAGCTTTCGGCCAAAAAATATTGTTACAAATTAATAAAACTTTACTATTAAAAGATGTACAAAAATAAACTTAATTTTATTTATAAACAATACGGAAACGATTACGGAATATTACTACGGTATTATATTACGGTAATGTAAGGGCCATTTTTAAAAATATTCTCAGCATACTTTTAGGTGTGGGAATTAGAGGTAAATCTTTTAGGTTGGTTTTCATTTTAATAAATTATTATATCTAGTTTTATGTGGGATAAAATATTAAAGAACATTTAGACAAAAAGAAATTTTTTTAACAATTTCGATTATTTTTGTTGGAATAAATTCCTAAAAAAGACCTTTGAAACTCAAAAACTATGGAATATTTGCTGTAAAATTATATACATATACATATTGTTTGTTTTATGAAACCCCAGTTCTTCGGGTTATCTGCACTAGAATATAAATTAAAATAACATGTAATAGAAAAAACAATATCAATTAGTTTTAAAAGCCATTAAGCTGTGATTGTTTCTTATAATCTTAACCTGAGTTAATTTAAGTGCCACCTTATCAAAAAAATATTTATCATCTCGCAGTTATATGAGTAAGAAAATTTTACTCTTATCACGGAATAGTCAATAGCAACAGCGTAAATATTTTTATTTTTATTATAATGAATTTTCCTCCCCTCATTTTTCCGCAAACAATAATTGCATCGAAATGAACTTGAAAATGTATGATGCTGCTGACACACATATTAGACACAAATATAACAGCTCAGATAGTGCCAAATAAAATGCATTTATACACAATGGGCTTAAATTTTTAATACCTTACTTATACTCTATACTCTTAATACCCTTATACTAAAATATCTAACAAAAATTGGGAAAATATTTTTAAATTAATGCTTCTATACCAATAATGTACCAATAATGTACAATAATGTTTTTATTTTCTTCAGAGTTCAAACTTTAAGATCAACTGCTTGTCCAAACTGATACTAACCCTACTCAAACCCCTACTTAAGAGTATGCACAGTTGCCATCTATCTAGTGAGATGAGGTAAACGTCCGTTTGCAGTCGGTTTCAGATTCAGTATGCTGGCATCGGCTCTTCCAATTAGTCCGTCAATTTAAAATAAAAACGCTTACGGATCGCGGCGTGCATACAAACCCTATATAATATCCAGCTGAGACGCTAATCGGGTCTTGTTTACCCAAACAAACCAAACACTTAATAAAATCAAAGAAAATGGTGTATGAGACATCGTATGGTACTGGGCAAAAGCCCTTCATACCCGATCTGCATCGAGGAACTTGGGAAAAGCCCTCCGATTACTTATTTGCCTGTTTCGGATTGGCCTTCAAATTGGATATATTTGTGGCAACTGACTTGGATTACTTCGACATAGGCAGTAAGTAACAGAGAACATTGACTAGAGTCTGTTTTGGACAGATAATGGATTTCAGGGTTAGTCTAATTTTTATAGGGGCGTTGCATCGCAGCAAAGTCTGACATACGACCTAGAAATTATATGGAATTTGTATGAATTTTTAATCAGTACATATTGACTATATAATTTTACCTGTTAATAATAAAAGTTATTTTATTTACCTTTAGTTATTGGAATATTACCCTATTACCTGTATATGGTTATCTATCTAGTGCCAATTTTAGTCATCCATTCGTTTATGGGACAGTTCTCAAGTAGTAGCTATATCTCAGCGTTTCGCCTGTCCCCTTTTTTTAAAGGTAAGTCGATTTTACCTTATTACAATATACTAAATGTATACTAAATTCTTTAATTTCAGGCATGGGCTATGTGAGCTGTTGCCTGAGTACGGGTGTGGTTATATACTATGGCATTTTTGCGGCTGTTCCAATTCTTTACATGGTGAACTCACTTCGACCAACCTTGCCCTGGAGTTGCGAAAGGTCTGAAGTCTTGGTATAACGAATCGGAGAAGGAAGCAACAGTAAGGACTTAACTTTATTAGCTAAAATCTATAAGAGTAATTGGCTTATGTATAATACTTTTCTATTTAGGTTTGTAACATCTCATTGGCCAAAACTAAGTCTTATGAAGTTAACAATGTGACGTACTACTATAGATTGCATTATATTCCGTCAGTTCTATTCTTTCAGTAAGCAAATAATATTCCTTATAGATTATTATAAAATATAAATTAATTTGTTATTTAGAGACCACTATAAAAGTATGAATGAATCTTCCTTAGTTTATAACGATTTGGAACAGGAATATGAACTTTCATATCATATTGTGATATATTTTGTTGTCGTTTGGGTCCTGATTGCCCTTATATTTTACAAGTTCTCGGAAGTAGCAAAGTTTGGAAGATTCATCCGTTTCATGGTGACAGGAACCCTGGGACTTGCTGTCGTTTGTTTCGTGAGGCTTATATTCTTGCCCGGAGCTCTAACAGGACTACTCACCTATGTGGCACCAAAGAATCCTGTGGGGGAACTATTTATGGGTTTCAGTTCCACTTTCATAATGGTATTACAAGCCTTTGGAGCCGGCTGGGGTAGTGTGATAGCATTATCCAGTTTCAATCGATTCAAGACGAACATCATGTCCTATAGTTGGATCGCCGCCTTTGGTCAAGTGCTCATCTATATCCTGTTTGGCATAATTTCTCGTATTATAAAAAAGCTTCATACTGGTAAGGATTCTATGAAAATGACTCGTCTATAAATATCGTGAATTTAATGGATTTTAGATGCAGAGGTATTAGGAGAGTCATATAAAACCTACTTTCCCAGCTATTGGTTGTTATTCTTGTCCAGTGCCAGCGCCATGGTTGAAATGCATTGGGCCAATCTTTGGACCATTATTTACTACATGATGTATTTAATGGCTTCTTTGATAGTGATGGTTTGTTATTTTATTTTATATGAAAGTTAGGTATTTTTAATTAATTTTTTTTTCTAGACAACGCAAATCTTTACCATCCTCCAGACTTTGTTTGACGAATTTGAGTCTTTGAGGCTCAAAAGACAAGAGCTTACTTTTGGCTTCATTGGAGGTCTTGCCGTTTGTTCCTTTTTCTTCTGCACAAATGTAATATACAAAATTATTTATGATTATAGAAACTTATTAATTGATCTTATCTTAGCATGGAATTATTTACTTTGACACTTTAACCATGGATGCAATTGTCTTACATAACGTGCTCCACTTACTTCTGCTTTTGGTGATTTTGTGGATTTATGGACGAGTGCGGTTCCAAAGGGATATTAAATTCATGTTGGGTCAACCTTTTGCCAACTGGAAGGTGTTCATATTGCGCTTTATTTCTCCGTTTATTTTGCTTATTTCCTTGGTATATTAATATTGGATACCTTTTTTCAAAAACAAACCCTTTCATATTAACTATTGGATCAATTTATAGATATATGGAACCAGTATAGCTTTAAGGGAGCATTCCTATACATCCACATTGGTTTCGGCAGTTACCTTCATGATAGTATTGGTTCCCCTTTTGGCCATACCATGCTATGGATTTTACTACCTATACCAGAACACTGGCACTTTTAGCGAGCGTTTCAGACGCGCCTGTCGCCCCACCGACTGGTATCCTGTGGAAATGGAGCATCGCCAACAGTACGAGTTGAGTGTGGGCAGCACCGAGATGACCCATCAACTTTTTGAGTTTACCGAAGCAGTTAACTAATTGTTATTTAATTTGTTATTAAAAAATAAATTTTTATATGTTGTAAAAAAAGTGAATTTTTACATTGACAGTCCATTCTGCACTCTACAATTTACTTATTTGTATAAAATTTCATAAATTGAAAATTTAAGTTTTTTAACATCGCACATTTGTATTTTCAAGTGTGAGATCAACTGTTTTCAATATTCTGTTTCCAAAATTAATCAACTGTGTTCAACTGTTTCCAAAATTAATATACTTTACCTTAGTGTATGTTCAGCAGCAGTCTATTGATATGAGCATAACGTTCATCGCAGTCGGTCTCAAATGTCACAATATTTATACCCTCGTTTTTTATTCGATTCGCTACACAATTTATTCTGAGTTTATGTTTGGTGAGAAATTTTTACAATTTAAAAGAAAGTTGTTCTAACTGATTTATTTATTTTCTTTTAGATACAAGTATGTTTCTTTATTGATTTACATGAAATACATCATCTCCTGATTTGGATTAGTCAGGGACTGGTCTTATATGGTTTACAAGGTGACCCAAACGAATGGCAGTTGGCGCCAAAGAATCCAACAGTGTTTAGCGCCACACGACTATAATTAAAACTTAAAAAATGATTAAAACTTAACTATTAAAAGATGTACAAAAATAAACTTAATTTTATTTATAAACAATTCGGAAACGATTACGGAATATTACTACGGTATTATATTACGGTAATGTAAGGGCCATTTTGAAAAATATTCTCAGCATACTTTTAGGTGTGGGAATTAGATGTTAATCTTTTAGGTTGTTTTTCGTTTTAATCAATGTTTAGTTTTATGTGGGATAAAATATTATAGAACATTTAGACAAAAATAAATTTTTTTTTTAACAATTTCGATTATTTTTGTTGGAATAAATCCCTAAAAAAGACCTTTGAAACTCAAAAACCATGAAATATTTTGTCAAATTATATGTATTTTGTTTTATGAAGCCCAGTTCTTCAGGTTATCTGCACTAGAATATAAATTAAAATAACATATAATAGAAAAAAACAATATCAATTAGTTTTAAAAGCCATTAAGCTGTGATTGTTCCTTATAATCTTAACCTGAGTTAATTTAAGTGCCACCTTATCAGTAAGAACATTTTACTCTTATCACGGAGTAGTCAATAGCAACAGCTCAAATATTTTTATTTTTATTCTAATGAATTTTCCTCCCCTCATTTTTCCGCAAACACAAATATCAATTTCCATTTTCAAGTTGCATCGAAATGAACTTGAAAATGTATGATGCTGCTCACACACAAATTAGACACAGATATAAGAGCTTAGATAGTGCCAAATGAAATGCATTTATACACAATGATTTTAAAGTTTTAATACTGTATCCCCTATACTCTTAATACCCTAATACTAAAAAATCTAACAAAAATTGGAAAATTTTTCAGAATTGATGCTTTAAACCAATAATTTATTGTTTTTTTTTATTAAAGTTTTAACTTTCAGATCTACGCTTGTCAAAACTGATATACCCTACCTAAGAGTATGCACAGTTGCCATCTATCTAGTGAGATGAGGTAAACGTCCGTTTGCAGTCGGTTTCAGATTCAGTATGCCGGCATCGGCTCTTCTAATTAGTCCGTCAATTTAAAATAAAAACGCGGATCGCGGCGTGCATACAAACCCTATATAATATAAATCCAGCTGAGACGCAAATCGGGTCTTGTTTACCCAAACAAACCAAACATTTAATAAAATCAAAGAAAATGGTCTATGAGTCATCGTATGGTACTGGGCAAAAGCCCTTCTCTCCCGATCTCCAGCGTGGAACTTGGGAAAAGCCCTCCGATTACTTATTTGCCTGTTTCGGATTGGCCTTCAAATTGGATATATTTGTGGCATCCTACTGGTTTTTCTTTGACATGGGCAGTAAGTAACAGAGAACATACACTCGAGTCTGTTTTGGACAGATAATGGATTTCAGGGTTAGTCTAATCTTTTTAGGGGCGTTGCATCGCAGCAAAGTCTGACATACACCTAGAAATTATACGGATTTTGTATGATTTCTTAATCAGTACATATTGACTATATAATTTCACCTGTTAATAATAAAAGTTATTTTATTTACCTTTAGTTATTGGAATATTACCCTATTACCTGTATATGGTAATCTATCTAGTGCCAATTTTGGTTATCCATTCGTTTATGGGACAGTTCTCAAGCAGTAGCTATATCTCAGCGTTTCGCCTGTCCCCTTTTTTTAAAGGTAAAGCAACATAAGTCGATTTCACCTTATTACAATAATCCTTATACCTTATATCTTTAATTTCAGGCATGGGCTATGTGAGCTGTTGCCTGAGTACGGGTATGCTTATATACTATGGGATTTTTGCGGCTGTTCCAATTCTTTACATGGCGAACTCACTTCGACCAACCTTGCCCTGGAGTTGCGAAGGTCTGAAGTCCTGGTATAACGAGTCGGAGAGGGAAGCAACAGTAAGGTCTTAACTTTATTTACTGAAATCTACAATACTAATTGTCGTAATTATAATACTTTTCTTTTTAGGTTTGTAACATCACATTGGCCAATAATAAGACATATGAAGTTAACAATGTGACACAATACTACCAATTGTTTCATGTTCCGTCAGTTCTATTCTTTCAGTAAGCCAATAATATTCCTCATAGATTATTATAAAATATTAATTAACTTTTTGTTTAGAGACCACTATAAAAGTATGAATGAATCTTACTTTCCTGATTTGGAACAGGAATATGAACTATCATATCATATTGTGATATATTTTGTTGTCGTTTGGGCCCTGATTGCCCTTATATTTTACAAGTTCTCGGAAGTAGCAAAGTTTGGAAGATTCATCCGTTTCATGGTGATAGGAACCCTGGGACTCGTTGTCGTTTGTTTCGTGAGGCTTATATTCTTGCCCGGAGCTCTAACAGGACTACTCACCTATGTGGCACCAAAGAATCCTGTGGGGGAACTATTTATGGGTTTCAGTTCCACTTTTATAATGGTATTACAAGCCTTTGGAGCCGGCTGGGGTAGTGTGATAGCACTATCCAGTTTTAATGGATTCAAGACGAACATCATGTCCTATAGTTGGATCGCCGCCTTTGGTCAAGTGCTCATCTATATCCTGTTTGGCATGATTTCTTTTATGATAGATAAGCACTATACTGGTAAGTGTTCTATAAAAATGACTCGTCTATAAATATCGTTAATTTAATGCATTTTAAGAAATGTCAACAGAGTCATATGATACCCACGTGCTCAACCATTGGTTGTTATTTTTGTCCAGTGCCAGCGCCATGGCTGGAATGCATTGGGCCAATCTTTGGACTATTATTTACTACTTTATGTTATTAATGGCTTCTTTGATAGTGATGGTGTGTTATTTTATTTTATATTACAGTTTAATATTTGTAAATATTTTTTTTCTAGACAACGCAAATCTTTACCATCCTCCAGACTTTGTTTGACGAATTTGAGTCTTTGAGGCTCAAAAGACAAGAGGTTACTTTTGGCTTCATTGGAGGTCTTGCCGTTTGTTCCTTTTTCTTCTGCACAAATGTAATATACAAAATTATTTATGATTTTAAAAACTTATTAATTGATCCTCTCTTAGCATGGAATTATTTACTTTAGCACTATAACCATGGATACAATTTTCTCACATAACGTGCTCCACTTACTTCTGCTTTTGGTGATTTTGTGGATTTACGGACGAGTGCGATTCCAGAGGGATATAGAATTCATGTTGGGTCAACCTTTTGCCAACTGGAAAGTGTTCATATTGCGCTTTATTTCTCCGTTTATTTTGCTCATTTCCTTGGTATATTAATATTGGCATTTTTCAAAAACAAACCATTTCATATTAACTATTGGATCAATATATAGATATCTGGAACCAGTATGGCGATAGTGGAGCATACCTATACATCCACAACGGTTTTGGTTATTACCTTCATGATAGTATTGGTTCCCCTTTTGGCCATACCATGCTATGGATTTTATTACCTATACCAGAACACTGGCACTTTTAGCGAGCGTTTCAGACGCGCCTGTCGCCCCACCGACTGGTATCCTGTGGAAATGGAGCATCGCCAACAGTACGAGTTGAGTGTGGGCAGCACCGAGATGACCCATCAACTTTTTGAGGTTACCGAAGAAGTTAACTAATTGTTATTTAATTTTGTATTAAAAAATAAATTTTTATATGTTATGAAAAAGTGAATTTTTATGTTGACAGTCCATTCTGCACTCTACAATTTACTTATTGGTATAAAATTTCATAAATTGAAAATTTAAGTTTTTAAACATCGCATCGTTTTCCATATAATGTTTAAAAAATTAATTAGCTGCGTTCAACTGTTTCCAAAATTAATATACTTTACCTTAGGGTATGTTCAGCAGCAATCTAGTGATATGGGCACAACGTTCTTCGCAGTCGGTTTCGGATTCAGTATGCCGGCGGCGGCTCTCTGAATTAGTTCATTATTTTGAAATTAAATCGCGGCTTGCACAAAGAAAAAGATTTACTTATATAAATCCAGCTGATACCGTCTCAGCACTTGTTTATACAACAAATCTAAACACTCATCAAAATCAAAGAAAATGGTCTATGAATCATCGTATGGCACTGGGCAAAAGCCCTTCTCACCCGATCTGCAGCGTGGAACTTGGGAAAAGCCGTCCGATTTTTTATATGCCTGTTTCGGATTGGCCTTCAAAATGGATATTCTAGTGGCTTCGCATTGGTACTTCTTCGATATGGGCAGTAAGTATTGGCGGGTGTCTGTTTTGCACAGAAAAGAGACTCCAAAGCTAGTATAATCTTTTTGGGGGCGTTGTATCGCTACACAGTTTCACATTTGACCCATGAAATATATATATTATGAATTTTAAATCATTATCAGGGTGTTCTAATTTTATACAAACGTATGCAAAACGAATTTTTAATAAGAATGTAACTCAATGCACACTTTTAATTTTTTTTTATATATTTTTAGTTATTGGAATATTGCCGTTTTACATGTATATGGTTATATATCTAGTCCCAATATTAGTAATACATTCGTTTATGGGACAATTCTCTAGCAGTGGCTATATCTCAGCCTTCCGTTTGTCTCCCTTTTTCAAAGGTAAGTAAAATACAGAAATCTATCAGTAAAATATATATTTTAACTTTAATTAATTTAATTGTAGGCATGGGCTATGTCAGTTGTGTTCTGAGTATAGCCGTCCTTATATACTATGGGGTTTTTGCCGCTATACCCATTTATTTTATGGCGAACTCATTTCGACCCACATTGCCCTGGAGTTGCGACGGGATGAAGTCCTGGTATAACGAGTCGGATAAGGAATCAACCGTGAGGACATTTTACTTTATTAGCACAAATCTAAGAATACAGTGGTAATCCATTTATACATAATTTTTATGCTTCAGGTTTGTAACTTAACATTAACTAAGGACGAAGTACTCGAGAATGAGAATGAACCTGAATTTTTCCTCAAGATACTTCAAGTTCCGTCAGTTCTCTTTTTCCAGTAAGTAAATCAATTTGAAATTATATTAAGTGGTGTAGGGAATTATATTTTTGAATTTGACGTATAACATTTTGCATAAATTTTCTTTTAGAGACCACTTTCTAAGTGAAATGGATTCGCATGTTCCTGATTATGAATTGGACTACAAAATGTCTTGGATTTTGCTTACATTATTTGTTGTTGTTTGGGCATTGATTGCTTTAATATTTTACAAATTCTCTGATGTTGCGAAGTTCGGAAAGTTGATCCGTTTTATGGTGATTGGGACGCTTGGCCTCTTAGTCATTTGTTTCGTGCGATTCCTCTTTTTGCCTGGGGCACTGAAAGGATTATTCACTTATGTCACACCAAAGGATCCTGTGGAACAGTTAATTATGGGTCTCGGATCCACTTTCATAATGGTTCTACAAGCCTTTGGAGCCGGCTGGGGTAGTGTTATAGCATTATCCAGTTTTAATGGATTCAAGACGAACATCATGTCCTACAGTTGGATCACCGCCTTTGGTCAAGTGCTTATCTACATATTGTTTGGCATGGTTTCCTTTATGTTAGAGCATCACTTTAAGGGTGAGTATATAAAAAATTTTCTTGTATTTACTTAATACCTTTAATGTATTTAAAGAGGTTACATCTGCTTCTTATGACACCCATGTGGTAACCTATTGGTTGTTATATTTGTCAAGTGCCAGCGCCATGGCTGGAATGCATTGGGCCAATCTTTGGACCTTTATTTACTACACTATGTTATTAATGGCTGCTTTAATAGTGATGGTATATGAATTTATTTTTAATGATTTATTTGGAGCTCTTCTTATGAAGCAAATTTCTTTTTTTACTTCCAGACAACACAAATCTTTACCATTCTTCAGACATTGTTTGATGAATTTGAGGCTTTGAGACTCAAAAGACAAGAGGTTACCTTTGGCTTCATTGGAGGTCTTGCCGTTTGTTCCTTTTTATTTTGCACAAATGTGAGATACGAAATTACTATTTATTTTGGTAACTTATTTATTGTTTTCTCTTAGCATGGAATTATTTTCTTTAGCACAATAACCATGGATACAATTTTCTCACATAACGTGCTGCACTTACTTCTGCTCTTGGTGATTTTGTGGATTTATGGACGAGTGCGATTCCAGAGGGATATAGAATTCATGTTGGGTCAACCTTTTGCCAACTGGAAGGTGTTTATATTGCGCTTTATTTCTCCGCTTATATTGATAATTTCCCTGGTATGTCATTTTGTGTTCCAACTTTTAACCATTTTGGATAATATAAAATACAAATTTACAGCTCGTTGGAATATTTATGTCCATAATGGAGCATGCCTTCACGTCCGCCTTGTTTGAGGCCATATCCATTATACTTGTGGTTATTCCTATTTTAGCCATACCAGGTTATGGATTTTATTACCTCTACCAGAGCAATGGCACATTTAGCGAGCGTTTTAAACGCGCCTGTCGACCCACCGACTGGTATCCTGTAGAGCTGGAGCATCGCCAGCAGTACGAATTGGCTGTGGGAAACACAGAGATGACCCAACAACTGGTTACCGAAGAAGTTAACTAATTCTTATTTTAATGAATAAAACTAGAGTTTTTTGTATTAAAAAATATATTGTTTTTATATACAAAAGTATGAAATTGTACTTTGAATTAAAGGGATAGAAAAATATGTGTATGTATTGAAAAAATATTATAGCAATTAATATTTAATTTTAAAGAGTTTAATAGAAATCCTATCGGCCAGTAACCGATTCTAAATCGGTTTCAGACATAAAGGCCGGCATTTGCCGCTGCCCCCGGTAGGCAACGTATTCCGCTCGATCTTCTGGGTCTCCCGGAGTCCAGTCCAGGGGCCGGAGACGCTTTTTCATACTATCCCGGAATGTGGCCCGTTTTTTAATCATAACGTAGATAATGTATAGAGGTATAAACATTACAGATGATACGAAACTGCACCAACCAAGAATCACCGCCCACGTAGGATAAGGAGCGTCTTTGTACGTGATCGTTCGAATGAAGGCGATGCTCATAATTAGTATAAACTTAAAACGAAAAAATGTATATAAATTTAAAATATAAGAATGGTAAATATGACTTACTATTATCATGACAGGAGTTACCCATTGCCACAGGATCTGCCAATACAGGCTTGGTCGTTTTTTCAACATGAACTCAACATCCATCATGAAGTTCTTGGTGCCATAAATCCAGGACACCATTATAATCTCCACCATACAAATAAATATAACGGCAATGGACGAAGAGTACCAGTCGAACAATTGAAGGATAAACATTCCAGCCTTGAAATATAAATAAACTAATGAATGAAGAGTTAGGACCCCAGCCGGCATACTCACATTGGTGCACATTATGGAGGACAGACCTAAGAACATTATACAAGTGCAGAGAGTTAGTTGCCATTTGTAGCTCCTTGCCCACATCCACTCATCCAGGACAGAGGATACGAATGACTCCAATATCACAAACTGAAGATTTAAAAAATTTTAAATTAATAAATTAGTTTTAAAACATTTTAAATAAAACATACCACTGTGCTGACACCCAGCAGGAAGAGCATAAAAAAGAACATAAGGGCCCAGAGCTGAGGAATCGGCATCATAGCCAGGGCCTCTGGATAGGCTATGAAAGCTAAGCCAGCACCTCCAGTAGCCACATTTTCTACAGGTATTCCCGACTTTTCTTTGGATAGAGTGTCAGAGATCAAATATAATGGAAAGTGCTGAAAACTTACCTGAGAGAAAGCCTAGTACCGAAAAGACCACCAAGCCGGCAAAGAAACTGGTAAAAACATTGATTGATACTACCAAATATGTATCCAACTTGGCGTTATTTCGAAAGGTATTGAAGCTGGCCATGTTGATGAGACCTCCCCAGCCGGGTCCCAGGCCGAAGAACATCTGTATGGAGGCATCGGCCCAGACCTTAAGATCCAGTAGGTATTTCCACTCCGGATACACAAAGTACTTGATGCCTGACCAGGCTCCGGGCAGGGTGACTCCTCGCAAGAAAAGGATAAACAGCAGGATGTAAGGGAAGGGGGCCGTAAAATAAACGACCTTGCCAACCTGTGTAGTTTTTTGTTAGTATTTTCATATATTTTACTAAAATAGTTTCTTAATAGGAATTGATGAACTTACTGATTTAACACCACCCATTACACAAAAGTAAACAATTATCCACACCAGTATAAGGGCAACCAATTGCTCCCAAACTATGCCGCCTATTTCGGATATGCTTGAGGAGATGCGCAGGATTTCAAGACTGAATTCAATCAGATTATATAAAAAATTTTAAAATATTTTATGAAAAACTTACTGAAAAAACTCATCGGAAGAGGTGACTATAATATCCGTACTATTTCCTTCTGAAGAAATCTAGAAAAACAACCTTAGTGCTTTTAGTCATTAATGGGTTATAGACATTGGTAACATACTTCATCGGCTACTACACAGGACGGTGTATTCCAGGGGTTATGACAGCTTATCCATGGCACTGTCTTAACGAAACAGTAGGACATCATACGGATCGGGTAAGAAATGATCACCGAGTAATAGCACATACAGTAGGAATTTACGATTATTTGGGCAATTCCTGCTCCTTTAAATATGGGTACTAGACGCCACATTCCAGTGCATCCAGTGCTTGAAAATTGTCCTATCAAGATCTCCATGTAAAATAAGGGAACTCCCGCTAAGATTACCATCAGTGTATAGGGTATTAAAAATGCAGCTAAGAAATAAAAGAAAAATAAAATAAATAAAAAAAAGTTATTATCCTTCGAGCCGGATTTGAACCAGCGACCTATGGATTTCAACATCCAAATGAATGCACAAGTGACACGAGAGTTGAGCGCTATCCTGAGCCGTGGTATTGTTTGGCCCAGTGTCCTGCCAACTTTGCCCCGGAACACTCGGTCTTGGAAACTCTACAGTCCACCGCTCTACCAACTGAGCTATCGAAGGCGACGCTCATGGGGCGTCCAGAGCCCCCTCATAAGCGCTGGAGCTTTGCCAGCTTTCACTCGAAAGCTAAACACAAAAAGCTAAAAATAGCCATCACCGCCCCCCCAATGGCACTGCACTCTTGCTGACGCCATTCGATGGTGCGCTATTTTTGGCATTGTTTGAGCAACATAACAAAAACAATAATAATAATGAGCATTGTGCTCAGTCATCAATTTCCAGTGGACGAGTGTATTTTGCGCGATTTGAGTGACTTGCGTGAGCGAGTGAAAGTGGATGGAGAGTAGAGAGGGAGGTGGGCGGGACTCACCGCCGCCACTTCGGTAGCACAAATATGGAAAGCGCCACACATTTCCAATACCAATAGCGTATCCGATGAGGGTCAAAACAAACTCAGCTTTGGAATTCCAGTGGCCACGTTCCTCATCGCGCACGATTCGCTTCTCCTTGCGTTGCGCTCCTTGTGCTTGGTTGTTAGCCATTTTCACTCAAGGCAAGCCCTATGGTTCTGTTTTTATTTTTTGAGTTTCCAACTTATTTTAAATTCAATAAATTTTGATAAAAGTGACATATGAAAATAAAAGATTGCTTAAACGGGGAAAATTATTAACATAGTGCTTAAAAGAATAAAGAAGGAAATCAAAGAAGGCAACATGGCGGATGGGTAATTTTTCTATGGGGTGTTCAGGACTTTATTTTTTTTATAGTCTATAAAATTATTAACGTTTTTTTTAAAGCTAATTTTTTGTTTAGTTTGGCTTAAGCTTTTTAATAAAATCCTTATTAGTTTCCGCACCAATTATTTCAGGACAACATGGCGGATGAGTAATGTCCTAAAAAAAATTTTATCTTGCCAATTTGCACCCGATTCCTACCCCATGGAGCCCCTTCCAAAATGCTGATTTTTCATATATGGCCCCATGTCATGACTGCATCTTGGCCAATTCGCATCCGATTCTTGAGCGGAATACCTCAAACGATTTGTATTCTGATTCTGCACAAATCTGCACCAAAATCTAGAACAGAAATTTTCGATCGATATTTTTCCCATTTTTCTGATGGAGCCCCTTCCAAAATGCTGATTTTTCATATATGGCCCCATGTCATGACTGCATCTTGGCCAATTCGCATTCGATTCTTGAGCGGAATACCTCAAACGATTTGTATTTCGATTCTGCAGAAATCTGCATCAAAATCTAGAAACAACATTTTTGATCGATATTTTTCGATATATTTTGCGAAATATTTTTTTCTCATATAAGGCCCCAAGCCATGGCCATATTTCGGCCAATTCGCATCCGATTCTTGAGAGAAATGCCTTAAACGATTTGTATTTCGATTCTCCACCAATCTGCATCAATATCCTTTCATAAAATTTTCGATCGATATTTTTCTAATATAGCCCCTTGCGAAATATTCTTTTCTCATATAAGGCCCCAAGCCATGGCCATATTTCGGCCAATTCGCATCCGATTCTTGAGAGAAATGCCTTAAACGATTTGTATTTCGATTCTCCACCAATCTGCATCAATATCCTTTCATAAAATTTTCGATCGATATTTTTCCCATTTTTCTAATATAGCCCCTTGAAAAGTACTGGTTTTTCACATATGGGCCCAAGTCATGACTATATCTTGCCCAATTCGCATCCGATTCTTGAGTGGAATTCTACAATCAATTAGTATTTCGATTCTGCACCAATCTGCATAAAATTTTTCATCGATACTTTTATCATTTGTTTTATGGAGGCCTTAAAAAAATAATTGTTCACATATATACCCAAGTCAGGTGAAGAAACGCTATCAGTTTTCAGAACATAAGCTAAATTTTTTGTTGTTTTCTGCCCTTTGAATAAAACGTTTTTGCACTTAAGTTTTTAGTAAACGTTATAACATTTTATTGGCAACATTTTAGCATCTTTAAATGTACTTTGCTTTCAGGTTTTAGTTCACGGCATTCATTAGACTAACTTATGGACTATGTGAGTGGGTTTTTGTTAAAGCTTCGATTTCCATATTGCTGTTAACCACTGGGCTAATTCACACATATTTCTAGCAGCGCACAGTTTTCAAAAGAACCATCAGAACCAACAAACCAATCACTTGGACTGGAAGAGCCTTAAGGTCGCGACCTGAACTACGACCTGCTATCGCAACGTAGTCGTCGGGTCGACCAGATTCCCGTTTTAGGGCTTTTTCGCAAAGGTCTCCGCAGTTGGCGTGTTCGCAAATATCGCAGATATTCGACTTGGGTGCCCTATAGAATTGTCTAGCTCGACGAGCTGGAAAGAGAGGGTATCATTTTAGTCACAGAAGTATAAAGTTTGTATAGTTCTTACCATTATCGTAGTAGTCATACATAACTACTGCCACTGGGCGATGTTTGGTGACCTTCACCGTCTTGTAGGCGTGCAGGGTGGGGCACACCTCCCTCCTGTCCAGGTAATCGAAATAAATGACAACCTTGGTGTTGCGATTCTGGGTCTCCACCTTCTTGATACGATCACTGGACTCCAGGGTGGGCAGTGTATCCCTGTCCACCACAAAGCCACTGGGCAGCTGTACCTCCATTACAGCCATATTGGAGCGCTGCTCCGCCTCACCGGCCACGGATACAAAACTGGCACAGGCCGAAAGGTGAAGATAGTCCGCATGGGAGTTCCTATTGACGGTGGGGTCCAGAACAAATCGAGGCCAGGCACTAGTGACATTGGTATTGTATTTGTAGCTGACTTGGGCCAAGGCCATACCCCGTCCGGTGGCCGAAATGCTCAGGTTTTTCAGGTTGTTGGGCAACTTAATTAGAAGTTTATTATTAGTAATAATTTCTTAAGGATTTCTTAGCGCCAACTCACCTCTACAGTTTGCAGTGCCAGGGAGTTTTGAGCATTTACATTGATAATGGTTTCGGCGCCTTCTCCATAATGGAAACCCACTTGGACATTATTTTCTTGACTCGAGAAACGTTCGGCAAAAGAGAGAAGAGCCTGCAGGCCCACTACCGTGTCCTGGGAGGCCACAAAGCCTCCTCTGGAATTCCTTTGATCCATTAACCAGTTAAGAACAGGCAGGGCATCGCCTACAAGATTATTCTCCAAAAGAGCCAAGGCGGCATAGGCAGAAATTTCAATGTTTACACTTCGAGTGGCATTGTACCAGGGCGATTGCTGTTCCCCAGCAGGAGCTGTTTTGTTCCACCATTTGTGGCCATCTGAGGAATAAGATTTAGTTTTGGATTTATGATTTCATCATATTATGGGTATATAACTTACCTCCATTTATTGCCATAGAATCTAATCTCTGCAGGAATGCCGCCTTGGCATTGTGATTGGCTCGCGAAAGGACATAAGTTCCCAAAGCCATGGCATGCAGATTGTTGGAGCCATCCAGTCCTCGGGTTATGAAATCTAAAGCCTTGTTAATGCTATTACGATACTCAGGGTAGAGGTCCTGAAAAGAATACGAGTGTCTCATTATTTAGCTACATTTTTATGTATATGTATAGCTTACCACATTCTCCATCAGAGCCAGAGTAACAAAGCCAGTGAGACTGATGCCATCATCGCCAAATCTTTCAAAGACATCGCCGTGCTCCTCAAAGCCACCATTCGAAGACTGAACACTGGCCAGGTAAGTCAAAGCAGTCTGAAGGACATTACTGTCTACCTGGATGAAAGGAGCAGCCTGACGTAGGGATCTGGCCACATAGGCAGTTAGCCAAGTGGAACTCCTTTTAGCATCCAAGCCAAAGGCACTAAAGGCACCATTTTCATGGCGATAGTAGAGCAGTCTTTGGTAGCCCAAAGGCCAGATTATTGGAGGCCTCTAATTCAATTTCGGGAGTAAGTTGGCGAAGGCGCTGTGGATCAGAATGAGAAATTAATATTTAAATATTTAAAATTAAAATATAATACAAATAACCTACCCCGAAGTACCGCAGCACCATAAGATTGGGCACAAATTTCACCATGGTCTGTTCTCCACATCCAGAAGGCAGAAGGATCAGGTTCTCCAGATTTCCAACAATACTTCCAATTAGATCTCCCACAGCAGAGACTTCGATGCTGGTGGATTCGGGAATGGCATTCCGAGGAACCTGGATGGTTACATTTCTCCTATTCTGGGCATTCGAGTTGAGTTCGAAGAGGAAACCTCGATTGATCCTCTCTGTTGCGCCCGGGTGTTCCACCAGCAAGTTCTGCTCCACCGTATCGCCGGCCTGGGAAGAGGCTGCCATGGCCTTGACTGGAAGGGAACCCACCCTCTTGGGTGTCACAATAAAGGACACAGAACGGGCAGATCGACCTGGCACTTGCAGAGATCGTTTTCTATAGAGTTCAATCTCTGAAAAGAGTTTTTAAAATAATTTTTAAGTTTAAAAACTAACTTTAGAGAACAGTGATACCCACTTGGCTTGTTTGTGTCCTTGGGATCCAGTTGCGGAAAATCAAAATCCAAAGCTGAATTGTAGAAGGTGACCTCCACATTCAGGTCACTATCCCTGTTGTTGTGAACCACGAATGGCAGGGCAATTAGTTCATCTGAAAGACAAATAAAGTAATCAATAAATTATGCTTAATTTTAAATGTTTAATAAAGACAACACCCACCTCTGCGAATAGAATAGGGCAGTTCTGTGGTAATGTAGAACTCCTTGTAGGCCTCCAATCTTCCATTTGGCGACGATAACCCCAATCCATTGACAGGATCCAGGGCGAAACCGGAAACCACCCAGGAAGTCATATCACTGGGAATTCTACGATGAATTGAATTCCGGCCATCACTGCTGGCGGATATGTTCAGGAAGAGCCATGTATCCGCCGGATTTCGCATTACATGGACCCGGGGATTGTGCCAGAAGGGTTTGGGGGTGTACGAGAAGGCATAACGCCCCTTGCCGGGTGGCAGGGTATTAACCTCGATTTTATGGGCCGGACCAATATCGGTTTTCCGTACTGTTGTCAATCGATCCTCCTCGGCGCCCGTCGATGCTTCACGTCCTTGTACCGGATTACTTTCGGCTTCTTTTTCAATAAAATAGTCAGTATTGGACATGGTTATAACACCAGACTCTTTCCCTGGAGAGCCCATGGGTGTGTTGACATCACTAAGTTCGTAGGATCTCAAAGCATCCATTAGACGTTTGTGGGTTAGATCATTGCCACTTCTCAGGGCTGCCGCATTCTGGTCCACCAACATGAGTCCCACATAGGAATAGGGCTTAGTGCTGATGCCAATGTCTATATCTTGGCCAGGAGGAGCACGTATGGGAGCCTCGATTTGAACCTATTTATAAGGAAAAGTATAATTAAAAGAATTTCTTAGAGGTGTAGAAGAATCACCTACCGCATTTAGTAAATTCTCTTCAAACTGTATGACTTGTTCGTCATAAACAAATTCTCCATTTATTACAGTATAAACAAGAAGTTTGGCCCGAGGCATCATGGCAAAGGAGGCCAGGAATTTGATGGTATGGAAGGTGCCCGGGGATACCTTGAATAATTAATATATTTCTAATGAATCTATATTACTAATGAATATATATTACTAATATTACTTACATCCACATTACGCGACAGAATTATATCACCTCGCCCCACAACTTGGTACATAAAGTACTTAATAGGTTCATAAGAACGAACCACCACGGATATTTCCTGATTAACAGTAGGCCTGAAAAACGAATAGATTTTTAAAAATAAATAAATAGTTTTTGTAGTAAAAAACTTTCACTTACTTATCGTTTAATATCTTGGCTGTTACATAGCTCTTGCTGTGCAAATGTTTTCTTGGAACTTTTCCAACCTCACTGATCACTCCCAGATAGTCGACAATTATAGAATGAAACTCATCACGATCACCCAGAGGCACTGTGAATTTCATTTTTATTTCACCACTGGCATCCAAACTATAGGTAGTACGATTATACATTTCACTGCTGCCATAAACATTCGTCAAATAGGCAGTGATTTGTGGGTTAAAGTCCCTTAGAGGTTGGCCATCATTACGGGCTATGCGAGCCTGGAAAATAAATCTTTAGAATTAAAAAAAAAATCCCTGTCTAGAAATCTCTTACAGTAGCTTCAAAGGGCACTCCAGGAATATAGTAACTGGGCACTTTGACGGTTTCCACACGATAATGATTAAGATGAAGAGTCAAAACTGTTGAATAATTTTGCACAGAGCCCGTGGACTTCTCCTCCACCAAAGCATCTAGAAGATACTGTCGTTCATAATCCTGCTTGAGATGCAGTTCGTTTTCAATATCGAATTCAAAGTAGGCATTTCCATCTATGGGAACTACTTTTCGGGTTATGAGATCATTAACGAAGGGCTGGAGGGAACCAAAGAACGTAGGGTATATGGAGAGGGTAGCCTCGCCCACGATTGGCTGGCCAAAGGCATAGCTAAGGATTATATTTTAAATTTTAGTATGAATTTTATAATAATTATTATCTTTACTTACTGCGCCTTGACCGTGGCTGTAATTTTTCCATCCTTATAAATGGCATTCTTGGGTGTATCGATGTCTACCACAAATTTGGGTAAAATATGATCCAAAATCTCAAAGGTTTGCGAATGAGTTTGTTCAGCAACTTCCACAACAATAGACCAAGTTCCAAAACGTGGATAGTCCGACAAACGAAGCTCGTTGGAATAAATGGAGTTTGTCAAACGTATATCCTTGTAGCTCCTTATGATGTTATCACCCGAGTCCTTGATATCCACATGGACACGTCCATAGGCACGAGCTGGCTTTAAATTAGAGTCCAAGACGAGAACTCTATAATGAACCAAGTCGCCGGGCTTGTAGATACTCTTGTCCGTTTGGACCAGAACCGTGTGCTGTTTGGCCTCGAAATGCAATTGAGTTTCGTTTGTGAACTGAACACCGCCCTGACCCTCGGCCGTTAGCCGATATCTATCAGGTTTTAGATCTGGAATCTATTGTTTTAAAGGTTTAAATTATTACTCTTTAAATAAAAAAAAATAAAATGTTCACCCACTTCAAAGTGCAATAATTGTGTGGAAAAGGGTCGTATCTCCACTGTCTTGAAATCCGTGTAAGTACTGCCCAGTATTCCCACCTTGAATCGGGCCGATTCTGGAGCATTATGCAAGCTCACTGCCACATGGAATTGTGAATTGGGACGCACTGTATTCGGTGCTATTATGGAATAAAGACTGTAGGAAAAAAACCCAATATATAAACTTATTAAATAGTGAATAGTTTTTGAAAGTTTTTTTATTTCAGATAAGTCAGTGATAAATTTTTAAAGATCAACCTCTGTTCCTAATTTTCACAAACTAATTTAATGTATGTGTGTGCTACACCCCTCTATAAAAAAAAACCTTAAAAAACCCGAAAACCTTTACAATTGCCGCTGAAAAAAACAAACGAAAAGAGCGTCAGATTTAATGGTCGTAGATAAGTGGATTACACCTATGTTGTTATGCTATCTGAATCTTTTCTTCGCCATTCATTCACGCGTCTAACGGAAGACAATATATATTGTGGTAGTACGTAGTGCCCGATCCCTCGGAGGGTAATGTACTTTCGGCTCTTCGGGTCAGCATCAATCGCTATGATGCGGTACAAGTCGGAAATGGTTTCGGGGCTTGGGGTTAGAGGTATGGAGTGGGGAAGTGCCACCGAATGGCCCGAGCCATAACCATATATTTTGTTTTTTTGTGGTTTTCTTTTGTCTCTTCCTTGTAATGCAACAAAAAGCTACCAATCTTCAAGCCAAGTCGAACAATTGCAGTTGCCAGTGGAAGATTTCATATCTCATTTGAATATGTTTTGTTTTTTGTTGTTAAGCTTAATTATTGGTTAAAGATAATGGGGCTTAGCTACTTTGGCTACAACCAGTTATTCGGAGATGCGATTGATGTTTTGGGAAATAAAAACGCAATCTTAAAAACAAAGAAAAAGGTTTTGGTGGGAAATATTTTATCTATCAAGATATCATGTTTTGAAAACCAGAATCAGAAAGTAATAACGCTGTCATAACACTTTCAAATTTTATTTGAAAGTAAAGCTTTCTGGATCTCCTATTTAAAGCCCCTCTTTACGGTCAACACCTTCACTAAACTCCATTTAATCACTGTTTTTGTTAGTTAATTTCTCTGCATTTTAGGTGTTTTCTTAGTTAGTTGGCCAACTGGTAGTTTTAAGATTTATGGGCTGGCTCCTAACTGTGCCAGCACTTGGCGTAATTCACAGTTTGCCGCCTGTTCTAATTCCAATTGGTCGGCAGTGGCGGTGGTGGCGGGCAGAAAAATCCCGCCATCTAACTGCCTAACCTGTTCCCACCAAATACAATTTTCTTTTGTGTTTATGTCACGTTTGTTAGCCTAAAAAAACAGGTTTCATCCGGTGGTCGCAAAACGGTTTAGAGCCACCAGTCAAAGCAACAGCAGCAGCAGCAGGTAAATGGCAAAAACAATTTCGCTTTTTGCTCAAATTGGCCGCAAAATGCAGGCTTCAAGTTTCCAAGTTGCCACTTGCAACTGCATTCGAGATGTTCCACCTGATTGATTTTTCTATTTTTTTTTTTTTAGTTTTTGTTATGGAATGTTAAACGAATGTAACCAGGTGAATTTCATAGTTGATCTCCGATCGGCACAAAAACCTATTCGTTCCGAGTTCAATTGCCCAGAATTCACCTACATGAGCTCCTTGAACAAGTGGCCCATATATGGATCGAGCTCGTATTGAATGCGAAACACTCAATGACAGATCATCGATCTGGGAAGTAAGAGAAGGAAAGCTCCAGAAGTGGACGCCTCCAGTGGGTATACCAGAGTGTTCGATCAATGACAGTTCTTGGCGACGGAATAAATTCGCAATGTGATTATAAGATCTGGTCCCAGACTGGTCAGCATTCAAGGTGAGCCATCGGAAATGAGTACATAAGTAGCAGTCCGAGTTTATGTGTCACCTTAAAAAATGGCATTAGGGTGATTCAGGTGTGGTAATAAATTTTAAATAGATAATTATTTAGTAACGACTTTGCTTAAACTGATACCCCCTTTAAAATGTCATATAACTTAAAAAACACTCTGTGGTAATAACAACTTGTTTGGTGTGTTAAGCCAAACCTTATTTAGTTGAAATTATTTAACACATGTCTTTCTTTTTATTGCAAAGTTTTTGCTTAATTGGAATGCAGCTTGTTTTTGGCATCTTCCCACCACATGGATCACCCCAATGATTTTGAAATGCGTAGGCAGTTTGAAATTACGGCCGAAAAAATCGCGTTGGCTTCGGGTTATTTCATCTCCGAACTTGTTTCAGACTCGTCAGCTTATTATGACAGTAATAAAGGCCAGGGCTAATTCCTTGATTACATGTTGTTAATTACAGATCTTAGCGGTGGCGGCATCTTCGGCGGCAAGTTCTCTTCCTAAGTCTTTTGTTTTTCAAAGTCTATTTTTGCTTTCTCGGCTTGAAACTCATCTGGATCTGATGGAATGATGTCATTTCTTGGCACTTTAAATATTTTTTAACATTATTATGAGCTTGTATCATTGTGTCACCTGGGGGTTATGAGAGTGTGGGTTGTGTGTTTTGGTTTTAAAAATTACTAACCCCTGGGCAGCTGTTTGGGAAAACAAACATACGACGGTGACTAAGATCACCGCTCGAATGGATTCCATTTCCGTTGCCTGCGGCTGCATATTATTTACTTTTCTCTGTATCACTTAATTTTTTATTTATTTTCACGTATTTAGCAAATTAAGTGTAAACACGTTTTTTCGTTTTCGTTTGCCGAATTGTGTATTGGCATCACATATTAAAGCACAAGTCCTACTTAAATGCTGTGGGTAGGCGATATTCTCTCCCGCTTGCACACTATAGCTGCCTCCCTGTCGCTCTCACTGCATCAGCACCACCGGAGATTGCTCAAGACGCTCGACTCGCCGTGCCAGTCGCGTTTTTTGGAGCGTTTTTCTTTCACTTTCGTTGCGGAGCGCTCGCGATCACCTGTTGCCCGCTCGTAAGCTCGCTGCCAACTGATTTGTTTGTTGCAAAACGAGCAGGCCCAAAAACGCTGGCTTTAACCCAAGATGGCCAAGTGGGTGATTTCTCAAAATAAATAATAATTAGTAATATGATATTTATAGCGTCTTTTGAGTATTTTAACAAGAGTTAAAGTCTTAAAAAAATATATTAAAAATATTTTATTAACCATACAAATTTTTATTTTTTAAACTCACTTATAATGGGTTAAAAATATGGTACCAGTTTGTATACAAATTTAACTCCTCAGTAACAAACCTCAAAAAAAATCCCGAACCATTCCCACTTTGGGTTTGTGCATAGGCTTAGTCAATACCGCAACCTGCTTGCAAACCCAGTATTAAGGTTTCAAGCTCAACTTTAATTTTCTGAATGAAATGTTATTTATAATCAGAAATAAAAATATCTAAATAAAATAGCATGATATCTTCTTACAAAAATAAATAATTTTTGAACTAAAATATTTTACAATGCTATTTTAAAAACATTTTACATAATATTTACTGTTAAAGTTCGGCTAATGTTAAAGTTCTGGCTGCTCGAAGTCTCACTAATTCAAATTATAATCTTAAAAATATTAATAATTTTTTGTGGGTTTCTACCAAATTTTCACATATTGAACACATATACGAATATTAATCATTTTTTGTGGGTTCCTCCCAAATCTACACATCTAGAAGACGAGCTCATTGTAGTTCATTGCTAGATAGCGGTCGGTTCAGTTTGACTTATTTTTTGTGTCTAAAGTCTAGACTCATTGTTAAAAATACTTCAAGATGTTCGGGACTGTTTTGTGGGGTTTTCTTTTTCAATACTTCCTACTTATCAATGCCTCTGGGTAAGTTTTTCTATACTATCATAAATTGTCACGATTTATTGTAAGTATGTATCGAATAGATCCAAATTATTGGATGCTGATTTCCTTAAAAACGGTTGGATTTCAGACAATATATTTTTTTTTTTCTTTTAACTCTTAACTTAACCAAGGAATGGATTTAAGGATAAGACCATCTTATCTCTTTATATAAAAGAATGTCTATTCATAAGCTTGTGACTTTAAGCTTTGGTATATATGTATAATAAGTATAGAAAAATGAAAAAACAATATATTTGAGGAAAAACATTCCCAACTTAATGTTTCTTATCAGAACATTTTTCTGATAACATATACATTTGGTAAAATTTATTTATAAAAACATCCAACTATTTAACATAATTGAGCATCAACTTTGCTAATCTTCTCATTATTTTTTTTTAATTTGATTAGCCAAATAAAAGACAGCCTGAATGGACCATCCTTTGATGAAACTAAAGAGATCGGAGTCCTGCCCAAGTTCGAGGTGAAAATCAACACAGACAAATATGTGTATGCAGACGATAACTTGATCGAGGTCACCATTTGTGCCAAGTATCCGGACGGAAAGCCAGTGAAAGGAAAGACAACTGTCATTTTAGAAGGGATACCTGGGGATTTTGAAACCTTATTACAGAGGCAAGAGAAGATCATCGATGTGGATGGCGCGGTTCATATGGAGTTCAGTCCGCTGCTGGAACCGTTTGCGATCAAATCCCATACTTATTCATCGCCCCTTAAAATGTTTGTTATCGTCACCGAGAAGCTAACTGGAAACCGACAGAATGCATCCACTACCGTGCATCTGATCTTCAACTAGATATTTTTCTGATCTATCAAATCTTCAACCTATTATAGATTTTTTGCGATTTTCGATGGAGTTAAACGTTGAAATGTTAAAACCATTCAGACTCTTCTCTAAAAGTTTCCACAATTGTTCCACACTATCTTTAATACTCAACTTTTAAATATTTAAAAGCAAAAGGAAATTAAAAATAAAATTTATTCGAAAAAACACGAGTATGTTTGTTTTTTTTCAAGATAAGCTCTAACGATTTTATTCATTTTGCTGTTGGGTATAGACCCTAAAGCGACGTAAATTTTAATAATTACTTATATTCTTATACGATTCTTAAGCGGAGTACCTTAAACGATTTATTATGCATCAAAATCCTGAGACAAAATATTTTTTAGATTTTTTTCCCATTTTTCGTGATGGGATCCCTTGAAAATGGGGTTTTTCCACATGAAGCAGATTAAAAAGCTTGAACCCAAAACTTAGTTTGGGATTGTGTACACACTAAGAAAACCTGTATTATGGTTTTGAAAATAGCTTACATTTTACTCAATGTTGTTTTTAAATCACAAATATACATATATAAAATAAAATCAATATAATAAATTAAATAAATTTCAGATATCTTCTGAGAAAAAATAAATATTAATTTCATTTAAATATTTCACAATGCTATATTTCTCATATTCCTGCCAAAAGAAAAGTAAACAGAAAAATGCATGTTTACTTAGTAATTAGCACAAAACTGCATTGTTTGCTTAAAAAAGGAACGTTTATTGAAATTTTTTCAACTTTAAAGCATATTTCGTTTTGTAATTTTTTAAAACAAAAGGTAATATTTTGTAAAGATGTTTTTGTGCTAAAGGTCTGATGCCGGGGTTTTCCGTTCAATTGAGTTTATTATTTCTTAAGAAATTCTCGGTACCTAATAAGAGAAGCCTCATAAAAAATATTCTCCCTGCTCAAATAGCAATGCTTCAACAATTTCATTAACAATCAGATTTATCATCAGTGACGTAAACAAACAAATTATTGTGTGAGCCGGCATATGCCGATCTATCAGACACTGATATCTCATGCCTGCCGAAATTCCCCGAGTATATGTAGCGAAAACCGAGAGAAATATTGACTGACGAGAATCGTACATTATCTCTATAAGCCGCAGAGAGACCTCCAATTCTATTTAAAGCCGGTCTGAACTGAAGCCGAGCTCATTGTAGATCGTCGCTAGCTGGCGATCGGTTCAGTTTTTTACAGGTCAGTTCAGTTTTATTGATTTTTTGTGTGCCCAGTGTAATAATCAAAATTTATATATGTGATAGACTGTTTAAACTTTAAAGTGATAGACTGTTAAATAATAGTAAAATTATATTTCAGTTCGCGTGTGATCCACTGCAATATGTTGAGGATTGTGTTGTGTGGTTTTCTTTTGCAATATGCCCTGCTTATCAGTGCCTCTGGGTAAGTCTGTAATTAAATATATTTCCATCATTATCAATTATACAAAGAAAGATAGGTCAGAATTCAGAATTTCTAAAAAATATATATGACACTATGTTTATATTATATACATTATTTATTCTACTTGCCACGTATCGAAATGTTTGAATGCCGATTCCCTTGAAACCGGTTGGAAAGCCTTGGTAGTTTGCAGTTATAATTTACTTTTTTGAAACAAAAAAAAAACAGGGAAATCTTAACGGGAGATCACCTCATCAATATAATATTCAAATTAAATTACAATTGGTGGGATGGCCATAAAACAAATTAGTTTTTATGGGCCTATGGAAAGTTTAAACTCACTAACTTTATGAGGCATGTCATTAAAAAAAAGTACAGTTGAGAGAAGTGTGGAAATCCCATCTTGTTTGTTTTTTCATTATCAGAACATTTGAAATCAATCACAAACAAAATACAACAAAATAATTAATTAGCTTTGTTTTTATAAAAATATAGACATGATTTTGCAATTAAACTTTGGTAATCCGCTAATGATTATTCTGCCGAAGCTGATAGATCATTATATTCTTTTTCAGTTTGTATTCTGTGGTGGGGCCCGGCACTATCAGATCGAACTCGAAGTACAATGTCGCTGTGTCTGTCCTCAAGGCCGATGGTCCCAGCCAAATAAAAGTCAGCCTGAATGGACCTTCCTTTAATGAAACCAAGGAGATCGAAGTCCTGCCTTCGGCCACCCAGAATGTGGAGTTTGAAGTGCCCAAGCTGGCATCGGGAGACTACAATCTGACCGCAGAGGGAGTGTCGGGTGTGGTGTTCCGCAACACCACCAAACTGAATCATGCCGACGAGAAGCCATCGGTGTTTGTTCAGACCGATAAGGCCACCTATAAGCCGGCTGATCTTGTACAGTTCCGTGTCCTCTTCCTTGATGAGAACACCCGGCCGGCAAGGATCGAGGGGCCCATTTCTGTGGTGATCACCGATGGAGCCCAGAACAGGATCAAACAGATTTCCAATGTCAATCTGACAAAAGGCGTGTACACCGGGGAACTGCAGCTATCGGAGCAGCCTGTCCTGGGAACTTGGAAGCTGGCCATCAACGTGGATGGGGAGACTCGTGAAACCAAGTCCTTTGAGGTTGACAAATATGTTCTGCCCAAGTTCGAGGTGCAAATCGACACAGCCAAGGATGTGGTTGCAGCCGATAACGTTATCAAGGCCACCATCCGGGCCAAGTACACTTACGGAAAGCCGGTAAAGGGAAAGGCCACCGTCTCCCTAGAAGCGGTCTATGGTTGGGCTTCAACAACTAAGCAAGAGAAGACCATCGATGTGGATGGCAAGGGCCATGTGGAGTTCAGTCTGCAGGGAGTCACAGCCAGCTCCTATCTGCCGCCCTACAAAATGTTTGCTGTTGTCACCGAGGAGCTAACTGGCAACAAACAGAATGCATCCGCTACCGTGAATCTCCACCAGCAACGCTACAAGCTGCAGGCTGTGGATAGTCCATCCACCTTTAAGCCCAACAAGTCTTTCACCTACCAGGTGGCTGTCAAGAATGTGGATGGTTCTCCAGTTTTGGGTTCGACGAAAAAAGTCACATTAGCTTTCGAAGAGCCAAATCGATACTTTGGACCTATGAGCAGCAATTTCCCGATTCCCCGATTCACATTTGAAGAGCCCTTGAACGAGAATGGTATTGCCACTTTTCAGGTTACACTTTTGACGAATTCTTCAAACTATTATAGAATTGTGGCGAGTTTTGATAATGCCCAAGAACATTTGGGCACCATCTCGAAGTTCCAGGAGTCAGAGAATAGAGAGCCTCTAAGGATTAAGGTTAACACCAAAAAGTAGGTTTTTATTTAACATCTTTGAGTTGTTTTTGAACTTTTTCATTTCCAGTCCTCGTTTGGGCGAGAAAGTTTCATTCAATGTGATTTCGACTGGAAATATACCCTATTTCGTCTACACAATCGTGGCTAGGGGTAATATTGTCCTTACTGATTATGTCGCAGTGCCCGAAAATACCAAGAAGTACACTGTGAATTTTACACCCACATTTGATATGGTTCCCCAGGCCACGATCTATATTCATTATGTTATCAACAACGACTTGAATTTCGAGGAAAAAACCATTGATTTCGAAAAGGATTTTACTAACTCGGTGAGATTTTGATTTTTGACTCTCCATACTTAAACCTACAATTATACATTTCATCCTATAGATAGATATTGTGGCTCCGGTTAATGCTAAGCCCAGTGAGGAAGTTAAACTTAAAGTAAAGACTGATGCCGACTCCTTTGTGGGTCTGCTTGGTGTGGACCAGAGTGTCCTTTTGCTGAAGTCCGACAATGATCTTAACAAGGACGACATCTTCAATAGCCTCAACAAATACAAGACCTCAACACCCTGGCTGCGGGGATATGGACGTTATCCTGGACAAACCTCCGGAGTGGTAACCCTCACTAATGCCAATTATCCCTACAATACGGGTAAGTGTCGAGATAAAACTATTGGAGGGTAATAGTTTTTTTAACTTTGAAGATTTCTGGTCCAAAGGACCTAATCTTTAGGAAGATTTTAGATTTCAAAACATACAACCTATAAAATATACAATATACCTAAAACTGATTGAATCACTAGATTTTCCCGAATATGTCGAAGATGACCCTGGAGTCTTTCCAATTGATGAAGAAAATGAAGATATAGTGTATCAGATAGTGGCCGTAGATTATCCTGCCCCTGCTTTTGAGGCACAGACAACAGAGAGTCCTGTTGAACCTGTCGAAATTCGAAAGAACTTTGCCGAGATCTGGATCTGGCAATCGATCGACGATCGGTGGGTTCTCGAATAAAAACTCACAAGATCTTTTAACACCCTGCTATCTACTGCTTTTTAATCCAAACTAAATATTCTGCAACAGGATGAGGCTTTTTATGCAAACCAGCTTTACTAATAATTGTATTTTGCAGCAGATTCTTATTCAATCGTTATGTATCGTTCTGGATACAGTTTTGATGATTTTGTTGAATATGATATGAAAAATCCAAAGATTCGCAAAGAATTTCCAGAGAGCTGGTTATTTTCTAACTCAGAAGAGTAAGATTATAACTTTTAATACTTAAAGTTTATAACTTACGGATTGCACATTTCATATGGTGATTAATATTTTCATTAACGAAATTCTTAAATTTGTCTTCACCAGTTAAAAGGTATTTTCCAAATTACGAACAACACTATGAATATGACTACGAAGAGCTTATGAGCCCCGAGATATTTATTGATCCAGATATTGTCAAAGCTAATAAAATTCGTGCAAAGTTTTCAGAAACATGGGTTTTTCAAAATACAAACAAGTACGATATTTTTTCAATAACTATTAGAAGGATTATTATACAGTTTTGGAATACAAATTCATTTTTATTTTCATTAAAAATTTTTTTAAGTAGGAAATATAAGACGGTGTTTATTCGCTTATTTTTCATGAGTGCAAATCATTTTTCATTTGGCAAAATATTACATATTTTTTACTTGGAAATACTTCAAAGAAATTCTCATAAAGCTGGAAAAGTATGATATGGAATTTATAATCTTATTTCAAATTTCTTCACGTGCCTTGATCGATTTTTTAAAACTTTCCTTTCTCTATATTATGCACGCTTTTATTATAAATTTAAATATTATAATACTTCGAATATATGGACGCAAAAGCTTCGACGAATAAATTTCAAAGAATGTAGATCCACAAAACTTAATTGTTCGAAGGCGGAGGGAGGCGGGTTTTTCAAATTTGTTCCAATTTGAATGAAACTTTTTTGATTTTAATGAACTTTACACTATTTTACATATTTGCAAATAACCTTTTAACCTTTCTAATATATATTTAATATCCTAGATGAAGAATATGTTATATATGAGGAAATAGGCCTAAACTTCGAATTCGATGCATACCCCGTTATGGGTTTTGATCTAGAAAATGATATTCAACCGAGAATATTGATCGGGGATAATGTTATTCAAGAGAGAAATGGGGTTTTTGATCCGGAAAATGTTATTCGACAAAAGCAACAAATAAGAAAAGAGTTTCCAGAAACATGGATTTTTCAAAATACGGAAAAGTACGACTTTAAATTTTTTAATATTTGAAAGTTATTCTGCACGGGCAATAACATCATTTCCTTTGTTGCAAATTTTGTACATGTTTTTCAAAATTAATCCGTTCATTTTCGCAAATGCAGATCATTTTTTGTTTGGGAAAGAGTCATATAGTTTTGACGAAAAAATATCTCCTAGAAATAATCATAATACTTCTTTTATTCGGAGAAACTTGTCAGAGACATGGACATTTAATAATCATGTTATTAGGTATGGCTTCATACAATTTACAAACTAATTCCCAATTTTTCCGTGTTCGATAACTTCTCAAATATGTCTACGTCTATTCACAAACTTCCATTCACGCACGTTGGCAATGCAATTTTTAGCTAAAATATTAGATGACTACGAATATTTGGACGCTGTTTTATTGGATACAGAAGATGTCAAAGTTGAAGAAGAAATTGAAGTGCTTTTAGACTCAGAGGAAGTGCCACAAATATTCGAAGTAGTTCGAAAGCATTTTGCCGAAGTCTGGATATGGCAAGCATTTTTAAATGGGAGGTTGGTTTTGTTCCAAATTGTTTCATAAATTAAATCATGGCACTTATAGTTATAGTAAGAATCTGTGGTAAAGGTTTGACTAATCTATATTTTAAAGATCATTTCAAAATAATGTATTGTAAAGCTAATGTCTATGATGAGGTTGATTCGGCACTGTTTAAAGAGAATGATGGCAAAGAGATAGTTCGCATCAATTTTGCAGATGTCTGGATTTGGGAATCCATTAATAATGGAAGGTGGGTTTAATATGTATTGTACAATGCATGAACTCCTTTTAACTTGTTCTATCCAAAACTTCCTCAAAAGACAAGGGTTACGGACATTGAAGGGATCTAACAATATACTAATAAATAAAAAAATTGATGAGTGTTCCAAGAAAGTTTAAGAAGAAAGTCCGTAGTAACTTTTTTTGTTCCAGAGTTTACGAGTATCAGGAGTACCTTGGAGAAACTACAGAAACTTTTATAAACTTTTTTTTCTTTACTAATGAGAGATATATATTTCTGCAGATGATATATATTTCCATCCATTTTGGCTTGGTGGGCCTGGGCCCATGCCGGTAGCCTTTTCTCTTGCGGCTCCGGCAACAGGTTTTGCTTCAATGGGCTCTTTTGCTAGGCCAGGAGTTCCCGGATCCATAGGTCCTCCGCCGGCCTCAATGCCGGCTCCACAAATTCGCAAAGAGTTCCCGGAAAATTGGATATTTTATGATGTTGAAAAGTATGAAAAGGCTTATGATTCTCACAGTTTTGGCTGTGTCCATCTTTCTATTTGTTTACGTGTTTGGCTTATCTTTAAGATTCACTTATGTACATCATTGCTACTAAAACCGTTCTATTAACTTATGATAGAATCTACCTATTATGCTTTGTAGAAAGACGCTTTTTTCCTAGACCCATATTTATGCGTCCTCAACTTGGAAATCAGATACTAATTAACCGACTAACAGCAACTGGAATCGCAACTCAAGCGTCCATCCCAGAGATCCTAATTCGAAAAGAATTTCCGGAAACTTGGATATTCTTGAATTTCGAAAAGTATGATAAAACTAATCGGTTATTTTTATGTTTTTCTAATTGATACTCACAACACTACATAAATTCGTTTGGAATTTTACACTTTAAATTTTAAACACTGTACTTCAAATCTATACATTTATAAGTTTGGTGCAATTTTTAGAGAAATTAGTAGGTTCTTTTGAGTATCGTAGTTGCTAGTCTTCTAAAAGCATTACATCTACATCTTTATAGTTTGGGTTTCGTTAGATATATTAGTAGGTTTATTTGTTTGTTTTATTTGCTTGTCTCTTTAAAAAGACTTTAATTATTTAATTAATTTTGGAGAATATTAGGTATAATAGTGTCGACCAAAATTCATCTTCCGGCTTAGTAAACCCATACAGTCAATAGAAATGAGTAATTTCCTTTGTTTAAGGCAAGAATTTACAGAATCTTAGTAATTTGAAAAGATTGGACCTTTTTTATTTGATATATTTGGCGTTCCAGTAATTTATTATTATTATAAATCAAAATTATTATTCAAAATTCTAAAACAAGATTATAATTCTTAGTTACCACATATACGTGGGACAGACCCCCAGTACGCTGTGGTGGACGAATTTTCGGTAAATGCTATAAAAAAAAAACCTACACAAGCACCCCAAGAAGATACTATTCAAACAGATTACCCCGTCCACGATGGCGAGGCGGAATAACCTACGCTACCTCTCGAGGCAGCACGTCTTATGGCCATGGTTCCTATTCCCCATCTTCCTATTCAACTCGAAATTCATATTTTAGAAGGCCTTATATTGGGCCTTCAATTGGTTGGAATATAAAACCAATTCAAAAACCAGCAGCGATTCCAGAAATTATACGAAAAGAGTTTCCTGATACTTGGATGTTTCCAAATAAATATGAGTAATTAATAATTATAAGAGACTTTTTTGGTTTTCTCATCTATGGGTTTCATAAAAATGCATGCCATTATGACAAGATAGGAATAGGGTTTTTATTAGAAGATTTTACTATCAAACATTTTTTAAATTTAAATTCTATTTCATAGCTCGCAGATTGAATTGGTATAATGAAGGTTGGAGACGTATAGCCCTTCCAGGGGGAGGAGTACATCCTACATACTGTAATGGACACTATTTCCCTGGGTGCAATCCGAGTGTAACATGGGATGGACGGATTCGAAGTGGTCCTTTCTACCCAGGCGCTTTTACCCCACCACCTATTACATTTAGGACCCATGCTTCGTATTTTCCATCTTCTTTTCTAACTTCAAACGTGCATCCTTTGAGTGCACAGTATGCAAGTTCTAATTTTGCGCCTTCTTTTAATTGGAATGAAACCCCAATACCCCCAAAACCAGCACCAATTCCACAAGTTATACGAAAAGAGTTTCCCGATACTTGGATGGTGGCAAACATATATGAGTAATTATTAATTATAAAAGGTCTATTTGTTTCCGCATCTGTGGGATTCATAATAATGCATGCCACTACGACAAGAAGAGGAATAAGGAGAATTTTTGTTGAATATGCAGAATTATATGATTATTTTTCTCCTGAGTTGGTCCTAGATAGTCATAGTTTTTGTTAAAAGGGCTCATTTAATTTCGATTACTTTAAGGGAATGGCCAGAAAGGCGACAACTTGCCAGCAGTTCCCATCATGAAGGCCAGTGCGGATAGACAGGGATCTAACAAAAAGCGAAAGACCACAATTAAACCACCAACAGAATCCACACAAGAAACCCCACTAGATGGGCAAGAAACTCATAACAATTTCGGCGTTAGATCAAAATTTTCAGAAACTTGGATATACGAATTGGCAGAAGATTTCCTTACAGAGTAACTAATTCCCTTCCAATGCTTTGTTAATCCTTTTTTCCTTATGCATGCTTGTCTGTGAATAGAAATATATTAACCCACTGACCCCCAATAGCACACATACCTAACCCAACGTTTGTACATACACTGTGTGGTGGAATTATAGTTTTAAATCATTGAAGTATTAATCTATTCATTTGTGACTTCGTAGTGTCGATAATAGTGGATTTACTCTGACCAAGAAAGTACCGGATACGATTACCTCGTGGGTGGTTACTGGCTTTTCCCTGAATCCCACTTCCGGAATCGCCTTGACCAAGAATCCCAGCATGATACGAGTGTTCCAGCCATTCTTCGTGTCCACCAACTTGCCATACTCCGTCAAGAGGGGTAAGACATAATATTCTTCATTTTAAGGTAAGGTTTAATAAAATATTTTCTAAACCCAAGGTGAGGTTATTTCCGTGCCTGTTGTGGTTTTCAACTATTTGGACAAGGCCCTTGATGTCGAGGTGACAATGGATAATTCCGACCGGGAGTACGAGTTCACGGAAGCCACCAACGATGTCCTGGAGAAAGCCAGCGACGAAGTCCAAAGGACCAAGCGGGAAACAGTTCCGGCCAATAGTGGCAAGAGTCTTTCCTTTATGATACGTCCCAAAAATGTGGGCACTACCACATTGAAGATTACGGCCACTTCACCCCTAGCCGGGGATACCATCCATCAGAAGTTAAAGGTAGAGCCCGAGGGAGTGACCCAGTTTGAGAACCGTGCTGTCTTCATTAATCTGAAGGATCAGCCGGAGTTCTCCCAGTCCCTGGAAGCTGAGATACCGCAGGAGGCAGTTCCTCAGTCGGAATTCATTGAGTTTTCCGTGGTCGGCGATCTCCTGGGTCCCACACTCCAAAATCTGGACAATCTGGTGCGGATGCCCTACGGGTGTGGCGAGCAGAACATGGTAAACTTTGTGCCCAACATCCTCGTGCTGAAGTACTTGGAAGTGACGGGACGGAAAATGCCCGCCGTGGAGACCAAGGCCAAGAAGTTCCTGGAGATTGGCTACCAGCGGGAGTTGACCTACAAGCACGATGATGGATCCTACAGTGCCTTTGGAAAATCCGACCGTGCTGGCAGCACTTGGTTAACTGCCTACGTGATGAGGTCCTTCCACCAGGCTGGAAAGTATACCGACGTGGATCCCAAGGTGGTAATTGCTGGCCTCGACTTCCTGGTGTCGAAGCAGAAGGAGAACGGCGAGTTCCCCGAGCTGGGAAAACTTTTCGATAATGCCAATCAGAATGCCCTGGCTCTTACATCCTTCGTCCTGCTGGCTTTCTTCGAGAATCATGTAAGTGGAAACAGCATAGTTGTGATTAAGAATACTTACAATACTTCTTTATCGTAGGAACTCATTGAAAAATACCAGAGCGCCATCGGAAAGGGAGTGAACTACGTGGCCGAGGAGGTAGACAAATCGGATGATCTATATCCTTTGGCCATCGCCGTGGTGGCTTTGCAATTGGCCAAACATCCGCAGGCCGATAAGGTCCTGGCCAAGTTGGAGACGCTGGCCCGGCAGGAGAACGATCGCAAATGGTGGTCGAAGGTGGCACCGACCTCGAGCGGCGAAGATGGACGCGTCCTCTACTGGAGACCTCGTAGCAACGATGTCGAAATCACCTCTTACGTCCTGTTGGCTCTCCTCGAAAAGGAAGCGGCGGATAAGACCCTACCCATTATCAAGTGGCTGATAGCTCAGCGAAACAGCAACGGAGGATTCTCGTCCACCCAGGACACGGTGATTGGATTGCAGGCCCTGACCAAGTTCGCCTACAAAACTGGATCTGGTTCCGGCAGCATGGACATTGAATTTACTCCTGCTGGAGGTACTAAAGACACCGTCAAAGTGAACCCCGAAAACTCATTGGTCCTGCAGACCCATGTGCTGCCAAAGAATACGCGCAAGGTAGACTTTACAGCCAAGGGAACAGGATCTGCCATGGTGCAGTTATCCTACCGCTACAACTTGGCCGATAAGGAGAAGAAGCCCAGCTTCAAAGTGACCCCAACGGTGAAGGACTCCCCCAGTCCCCAGCTCCTTGACGTGGATATCTGCGCCGAATTTGTGCCCCTGGAAGAGGCCGACAAGGAGAAGGACTCCAACATGGCTGTCATGGAGATTGCCCTGCCCTCCGGTTTTGTGAGCGACTCGGATACTTTGGACGGAATTCAGACCGTGGACAGGGTTAAGCGGGTGGAGACCAAGAACTCCGACTCGACAGTTATTGTTTACTTTGATAGTCTGACCCCAGGCGATGTCCGTTGTCTCCCGGTCAAGGCCACCAAGGCCCATGCGTTGGCCAAGCAGAAGCCCGCCTCCGTGTCCTTGTACGACTACTACGACACCGAGCGCCGAGCTACCGAGTACTACCAGGTGGCCTCCTCCTTGTGCGATATTTGCCAAGGATCCGACTGCGGTGAGGGATGCAAAAAGAGTGCCTAAATAAAATATTTAAAGTAATGTTTTAAAAATAAAAAAAGTGGCCTTCTAAAAAATAAATATTAAATAAAAGTAACAATTTGTTTGTTTTTTGTTTTCATTTTTTAATAAAAACCATGATTACGTGCTACAAACTATAATTTCATCATATCCTTCGATATCCTGTTTGATTTTCTATAAGGCTGTAATAAGAACAACTCGTTAATATAAGTTTAATCAAAACAAAAATCAAAGCTCAACTTACGCTTGAACATTTGGAATCAATACTTCAGTTTTTATATGATTTTTCAGCATTATTTTGCGAAATTCACTTTGAACTCTGGGATTTACCATTAAATGTACTTCTCTGACAGTTCGATGCCACAAGTTGTACTAGAAAAATGTTTAAAAATAATACTAAAACATTTAATTAATATTTGAAGAATGATATTTACATTATCAGGTTGTTCTAGTAATTGATCAATTATCTTTTGCTGATGGGAGTTTTTGATGTAGACCCTGTAAACAGTATAGTTGTCGTAGTAGCGAGGATCCGCCAATGTCCTGGACAGACAAACTACAAGGAATAACAATGCAATCGATTGCTTCATTGTGGATTAACTGAAATTTTTTGCATTGCGAAACTAGTTTTAATGCGAAATGAGTGTTTCACAGCAGCTGTTTTTTGCAGTTGAAAAAGCAAACAAAAGTAGTTGTAAGATTAAAATACGTAAGGTAATACTTTTCAAAGTAAAATGGGTCATAATACGTTTTAAACAAAGAAAAACAATAAATAATTTAAATAAAAGACTAGATTGACTAGCTTTTGTTAAAAAAAAACTGCAGTCGCATTTTAGTTATTGTTTCTTGTCTTTATATTATACATTGTATTGTTACTTTAAAAAGCGAATATCAGATATAGCTGGCAGATTTTAAAGTGAATCTTTATGTCAGACCTTATAGAACAGATTTTACTGAGATAGTTCCTTTGCAAATTTGGAGTTAAATTTTGTTGGTAACAATTTAATTTTTGACTCAATTCTCAGCAAATATTTTAATTCATTTGGAACCGATGGAAAACCCAAATACCATTTATAAAATAGAACTTCAATGCTCGTCGATCTGCATAAAAAAATGGGGAAAACATCCAAAAACCATTTTATACTTTAAAATTTTAGATAAAATGGGCAAAGTTAGAGTTTTTTAATTTTTTATTGAAAATGATTCTACTCAAAGTTTTAAGAATGGGAAGGTATAACATTTCTAGATCTGACAAGGATCTATTAGAAGAGTTAGAAATATTTTTTCATTTCAAAAAGTGCAAAAATTAGTTGGTTTATTTATTTGGCCAAAATATAAGCTTTTAAACGGCTACCCTTTTTGAAAAAATTACGAAAAGTTTTTGTTTCTAGGCTTTGATTACAAATAATACAACTTGAAAATCTTAGATCAGCCACATAGCGACCAAGTTGTTCACATTTATCCAATACAAAGTTGAAAAATTTGATCCAAATTTTTTTCCATTATTTATCTGGCAAAAATATAAATTTTTATTTTACTCTTTAAGGAATATTTTAACTATTTTGTAACCGATTCTAAAACGGAGTACCATTTAACAATCCGAGATCGAATCCCCTTTGTTCTGGATCATAAGATGGAAACAATCGACCAACTAATGCCAATTTTGTGCCAATTTATGGCCAAAATAATAAATAAACCTCTAAGAAAAATTACGAAAAATGGGTCAAATTTTAAATAGTCGGATTTCCAAAGGCCATATAAGGACTGTTTGGGCCAGCAGGTGGTACCATTGACACTGAAAAAATGTTAGCACCAGAATATTTAGGCCAAAACATAACATTATATATTACTTATTTTAGATTAAAATACAATTTAAGACGATAAAATGATCATCATGCCAAAATGTTTCAAATTTTTGGTTAAATAGCCATTTCAAATGTTTTTGGAAGTGTACTACCGAGGCCCACCCCAGTTTAGCTTGGAAACAGAAATAACGCCACTCCCGCCTCCTGATTCCAACATGTGAGCAGGCAATGGTTGTTCAGTTCATCGCTGACCCAACGGCTAAGGGATGCGGCCATTGATACTTTTGGCAGCCGTTGGGCTTCAATTAACTTGTGTCAATATTGAGCTAGGCCAACAACCCGGACAATATGTGGATTGGGGATGGCCGGGTGTGGGGAGCCCAATAAAACTGTATGGCCTTGTTCGATGATTGGGACTCACCCTCGAAAGGGAATCCACCCCGCATGCTCCTCCGCCTCATCGTTCGGTCTCTGTCTGGCTTTATGCTTTTTGCATAATTTATGGCAGCGCCCAATCGTGAAGCGGGTGCAAAAAAAAAGACAAAAATTGTACACGAAATATTCTCCATAAGTGCCAGACACGCCCTGGCCGGGTTTTAAAGGTTTATCATTACATTTTGGTAATGGAGAATAATGGCAAAATATAATAATCTTTATTTTTTTAATACGAAATATAAGTTATTAACACTATCAGTAAATCACTTCGCAATCAGTGTACTTGTACAGAAAGGTCGATTCACAGGCACTGCTTCCATATGCCCTCATATGATTGTGGCGTCTCACCACATGAAGGATATATCCATAGAGCAAGAGTAACAGTAGACAACTGATGATAAGAATGGTTCGAATCCTGCCTGGAGGGGAAGACTTCATAGGTCGGCTCTGCAGCTCCAGATTCTGCATTCGCATCTTGTGTCCACATTCGCAACAACGGACCTGGTTAAGAATCTGGACCAGCTCCAGACGACGCATATCCTTGAACTTCCGAAAAGTCTTGCAGAGGCCATCGAGAAACTCTTGAACTTCACACATTTTTGTAGAATCAGGTAATCTATATAGTCTTCGTTACAGCTCTTATAATATATTTTGAAATGCTAGAGTGTTTGTAGTCATTGACGTTTTATTCTAAGGTTGAGATGTTATACTAATAATTTTTTTCAGGGACAGACTCTCACAAATAATTTCTTTTTTTAACAATCATCTAATAGACCTAATAGCTGCAATATGTAAAGAAACAAAAATATAATATCATGGTAAATGGACAAGGCTGCCAGAACGTATTCATCTTCTTCGAACTGATGCCTTCGGTGTTTGCCACCGACTATCATTTGGATGTCCACCACCAGATACAAGGAATATAGCAGTATCCCAAGACTAGCAAATATTAAATGGAGTATTGGCATGTAGACAAAAATGCAAACAATGCCGATGAGCATCATGGCGATGCCCAGGAGGAAGAGAAAAACCCAGCAGCTTGTGAAATCGCAAGGAGCAACTATCGCGAATAGTGTCAGTGCTAGAACCAAAATCGCACAAATTCCGAAGGCCATCAAAATCTATTGCAATCGAAGGCTTTAGAAAATCGAAAATCATTAATTTGGTTTCACTTACAAGGATTGGCGCATATATGGTTGCTAAAACGGCTACCACAATGCTGTGGGCCAGCATATAGAGTACGAAAAGTATCCACTTGCAAGGCGACGAAGTAAAACAGTTTTTACAGCAGCACATTATAAAGTGTATGAATATTATAATCCCCATGCCTATAAACATAATCCACCGATGTCGCCAGGCCCACCGACGGGCTTCTCTCACAAACACAAATGGTGCAGTTATGGCTGTTGTAATTACCAAGAGTATCTAAAAATATTATTATTCCAAAATTTACATCAAGTATTTATATACACTAAGATGTTAACTTACAGTCACCAAGGTAAGAACTTTTCGGATAAACTGGCGCCTGGCAAAGCGATCCTCAAAGGGATTGATTCTATCCCGGTTTTCCTCCTCCTCTTCATCGCCACAACAAGCCATATTGGCTACTAGATGTCCAATTCAACACCAATTAAATATATACCTAAGTACATATATCTATATATATTTTAGTATAAAGTAAATGTAATTATTGAGTGTTTATTGACAAAAAATGCAAAGATGTTTATTGAAAGCATTGGATTTCCAATTTATCCTTTTAATTTCTTTAAAAGAAACTCTTAAACATATTTTCAAAAAAATTATTTTGAAAAAGTATACTCTGGAAAGAATATTACGTAGCCAAACTAAACCATAATATCCGGACTAATTAATGGAAAGTGGGTGTCTCCGGGCCAGCGGCTTTTCGCGTAATGAGAGACGCCTCGCTGCCCGCCAATGTGAAAATGTGGTCCGGAAAACTCTCGGAAAGGCATTCGTAATACGTCAGGCAGCAACAACGAAAAATGTAGGAAAAACCCAGCAATATGCCAGCCAGCGGGGCGGTTTTTTGTGCTCAGGTGTGAAAAAGCGTGCAAGAAGTTGACACAAAGCCAGACAATGGTAGCAGCAGGATGGCAAGTATGACAGGATGCCAGGATGATATCCGGAGGACTATGAAGCCCCGAGAAGCTGCATTGGAAGCCGCTGAACCGCACTAATTGAGCCGCGTTACGTCGAGTCGAATGCATTTCAATGTGTCAATGTTGCCGAGCAGCGCGGCAGGCCCATCATCACACATATTGTCATCATTTTACAGTTTCTCGCCTCGCTCCACGGTCTGGGAAGTCGTCCAACTGCTCCGACCGTCCCGGAAACACCACCGTAACCACCGCAACATTCTGACCCAGCCGGGTCACCCACCCAATATCCGAGAGCTCCTGATCCCAGTCAGCTGCACTTGCTCAAAAAGGTAAAGATTAGGATGGCTTACACTCCTTGACCCATGTCAGCTGTAATGTATTCATAATTTTCTGATTTATAAGCCAAATGATAGAGTAATCTGGTGGCTAATTTGGGACTTGGGGTTTTTGATATGTGAGACGGAAATAGATGACTACCCAAGGACTATTAATTGTTGGAAACTTAAGAATCTTATAATTCATGTAGGAGTTTTAAACTATTATTTTAAAATATTAAGATTATGCCCGTGCCCATTTTAAAGGGTCCTTAATAAAATTCTTTTTAAAAAAACCTTTTTCTCACTTCACACCTGTCATTTTGTCAGTGTAACCTCACGCATCCTCATCCCAGCTGCCTTAAAAAGGACTTGGAAACTATAAGTACTCATATAGAATGTTATAATGCTCTACTCTTCAGCCCTCATGGTTTCATATACTTTTTTTTTAATGGCATGGGACATATTCGAAGAGGAGGCATTGAATGAGGCGGGGGCAGGGGCGAGGATTATGTCATAGTTCAGAGAGTCGACAATTAACGGCACAATTACCGAGCGGAATGCTATGGCGTGGGTTAAGTGTTTTTTTTTTGTTACCACAGGACTAGGAGCAGGAGCAAGAGCCAGAGCCGGAGAAGGAGCAGGGGTTGGTTGAATGAGATACACTTATATGGCCATTAAGAGGTGCCGAGGATGCCTCATAATTGAAAGGAAAATGCAGCTTTAGCTTTTTAAGAAATTGTAATCACAGCAGATTGCGCTGAACCGAAGGCGACTGAGCCCGGCTCAGATACAAAGATACAGATACAAAGCTGATAGGTCACAACAGCAGCAGCTATCGTATCCGGAAGAGATTAAGCCGCATCCCCTCCAGTGCATCCATCCAGGGTGTCCTCATTGTCCTGGATGATAAGCGCAGTCGTTGTCTGCAGTTTTTCCCACCCCATCGATTCGGCCAGACAATGGAATTGGATTATAATTTTTTATTGTACGATTTTTTTTGCTCTCAATCGAGGTTTTTTGTTGCCCCTGTTGCGTGCTTGAGTTGATGTAGCAAGCACGAAGGGGCATGCCACAGTCCCCCAAACCATGATAAGAGCTATTGATATACTAAAAACAAAACACAAAATTATTATGCTTATTTTGAAGTGGGGGCAAGAAATTATGGCGCCTCCGGAAATTGTTTATGGCGGGTAAACAATTCACGGACTTCTGAAGTGGGTGCCTGAAAATATGGCAGAAGCTATTATCTAATATTGAGTGGGTGGGTAGCCTTGCAATTATGAAGCCAATTATAATGAATCAAATTAGTTTTAATAATTTAAATGCTATTAATATTAAAGGTGGAAGGGGAAGGGAAACCTTAGATTTGTGAGGTACATCTGCTAAATTAAAGTTCTTATTGTAAGGGACCTTTTCTTATTGGCTAATATATGTCTTTAAAATCCTTAAAATAGGAACAGCACCCATAAGACTATTGTTAAAATCTTAAGAATTAGATTACACAAAAAGTCTTCAGGATTTTCTTGAGAAGTAGAGAAAAAGTTGAGAACCTTGGAAGTTGAGAAACTTGAAACTTCAAATGGATTTTTCTATATATAAGACATATTATTAAAAAAGACTAATAGAATTAATATTTTAAAATTTAAATTATATATGTATCTTAAGCATTATTTATTCCTTTATTAAATGAAGATTATTTAAGAAAATTTCCCAAATAAAATTTGTTTAGATTCCAATCAATTTTAATTGTGAAAACCCCTCCCAGCCACTTGATAAACTTCTCACCTGGCCCAGAACCTACCAAACAGCTTACCTTTTCATCGACAAATGGAAAACTTTCGCCTGAGCCGCGTATCAATGGCTATTAATTAGCTTAATTAATGTCATTCGACTGAGTGACCAAAAGCTGATTTTATGGAGTGCCGAGGCGTCATGCATAAGCGAGCCGGAAAGTGGAAAAAGTGCGGAATTATCTGGAATAGATCTGCATGAGGTTGGGTGGGGGCTATTGGAGAGTGGGTGGATGTCCTGGCACCACCGACCGTCCAACCGCGTTCAATTAGCCAAATAAGTCAGTAGTCTGTGTCACTGGATAGATTGTGGATGAGCTCAGATGGATACTCGAATGGTCGACTGGGCGTGCATAAGGCAAACATCAAAAGGATTCAAACCGGGCGATGGGCCACTGACGGGGGGGCATTGGGCGAAGCGGACATCATGACAACAGCTCAAGGACCATTCACAGTCATTCCACAATTGGGGGTTGTCCTTCGACTTTCGCCGTTGCTGTCGCCATTGCCGCCTCCCTCCTGCCCCATCGCATTATGATAGAAATCGGGTTCAAAAGAATGCCGCGAGGCGGTGTCAAAAGTCATCCAAAAATTGAGCACAAGCTTCTACTTCCTTCAAACTGAATGGCTGTAAAGGACAATTGGGAATGGGCACGGGACTATCAGTGGGCGGTGTGCTTGAGCATATGCTGAGGGCCCACTGTACGTCAGTCTTTGATTATTTGCATAAAACGAACAAAAAAAACACAAACGCATCGCCCTGCTTGATTTCGCTTTTCGTTCCCATTTTCGAGATTCGATTCGCTTTGAATTATTCATACGATACTCGTCAAGCCGTTCAAAAAGCCGAAATCAAAAATGTCAACTCGAGTGTCACATCACATGCGTCGTCCCAGGCGGGGGTGATTTTTTCATCCAACAAATCAAAGTCAATCGAATAACAGTTGTCTTTATGAATGTAAATATTTGCGAGAGTTGACATTAATAAAATAAAGTGTTTTTAAACATGATTAAATATTTGACTTAGATTTCCTATCTTTTTTTTTCAAACAAAAGCTTTAAAAAATGGCATATAGTTTGCAAGACATATTAAAATGGATAAAATATAGTACTCTATCCTTTAATTGATAAAACAATTACCAAAGAAACATCCCATGACAGAAAAGAGAATAAGAAACGAAAGCTGCATTTTTCTGTAGCATATTTTTAAGGGCCTCGCCTTGCCGCACGAAACTCCGCCTGTTTCAGTTCCATATCCTGTGATTCCTCACAGATCAAAGCAGTATGCAAATGTTTGAGGCGTGAGCCTTGAGGGTCTTGCCACCTGCAGAGCTCCTTCCGAGTGGGAAGAGTCTTCGAAGGGGGCGAGCAGGGGGCAGGCTGCCACTAATTAAGTTGCAAATGTCATGCGGCAGACATGGCGACAGTTTAGAGCCCATTAAACGCGGCTCAGCAATAATTGTTTTCATTATGCATTCATTTGCATATAGATCTGGATTTTTCTTCTGCTTTTTGTCTTAAATCGCAGTAGACAGTGGGAACTCAAGGACACACCATGCCGCAGCCCGGATATTTGCATATATGCGAAAATAAAGAGTTGCAGGACCTTTAATTTCCCCCTTTAAGTCAGATTTAAAAAGCACATGTACATTTAATAATTGAAGAATTGATTTATTGCTTAAACACTATCAATAATATCACTTACGGACTAAACAAATTCAATGCATTCGTCGATCGTCAAAATGTTTTGCTTGATTTCTTCGATTAAACAGACACTTAGGGATACATACATACATATATGCAAATACGTACAGTACAGATATTTAGTACAACTCTAAGATACACATCCTTCTATGTATTTCCGGTTGAAAGCTAAAAAACACAATGCCAAAGCACTCGAGAATATCCATGTATTTCCATACACGGAACTCAGTGCTGTGCATTTAACCTTTAGAACTAACTAGTTAATCCCTTTATCTATAGCCTATTCACATCGAGAACTCGAAGATTCTACGTCTAAGGATAACACATTGGCCGGGCTTAAGACTACGTTCCTATATACATAATTGTGGTTTTGCAGTAATTTTTTTTGAGCTGGTGGTATAGTGGGGGATATTGCACAATTTGAAACCATTTAGTGGCTGTTGAGGTTTTACTTTGGGGGATTTAATTCCTTTGCTTCCTCCGTCGTCTAGAAAAGTCCGTTCAAGGCTCTCACCGCACTTCCCAGGGCTGTACACTCCAGCTCCGGGGATGGGGACTCCTTGCGACTGGGGTTCGGGTCCTGCGAACTACTTGCAGCGGCTGCCGCTGCCACAAACTGCAGTCAGTCGATCAACAGATCGTTCCTGGAGGTGCAATTGCTAGTGCTGGTACTGTTACTGGTACTGGCGGCCATGGAATTCGACGTGGCCGTCGTGGAGCTGTTCAGGCTATCGGCATAGTAGCGCTGTCAAAACACCTTGGCTATGAACGTCTCGGAGAGCCGCTGCTGTTGCGGCATGTGAGGGGGCTGCTGTTGCCCCAGCTGCGGCTGCTGCTGATGCGCCGGGTGATGATGCAAGAAGGCAGAGCCGCTGGCATACTCCGGTGGCGGTGGTGGCGGAGGCACTCCCAGTTGGTAGGACCCCCCTGCCGTGGGATACACTCCTCCTACAGAGCGCGGCCAGGCGGGATTGCTGGTTTCCCCGCTGGAAAGCGGCGGAGTGGTCACATTTATTGGCGGCGACATGCTCCCGGAACTCGAGTCCGGCGTCAATTGGCCAGAGGCCTGTCCGTGGGGATAGCCCCCGGAGCCGGAGAGCGGTTCCCGGCGGGTGTACTCCCTCCGCCGCTCGTAGGACGGCGGCAGGTCCAGATCCAGGTCCAAATCCCCACCGATCTCGTGCAGCTTCCGCATGTGCTTCTTCAGGTCGAAGTTGCGGCAGAATCCCTTGGCACACACGCGGCAGGTGTAGGGCTTTTTGTCGTTGTGGGTGTGCATGTGGAAGGTGAGGTTGTAGATCTGGTGGAAGGCCTTGTTGCAGATGCTGCACTTGTAGGCCTTCTCGCCGCTGTGGGTCAACTTGTGGTTCTTGTAGTTGCCCTTCTGGTGGAAGCCCTTGCCGCAGTACTCGCACACGAACGGCTTGTACCCGGCATGGATGCGGGCGTGGGTGTTCAGAGTGGAGGAGCGATTGAAGGCCTTGCCGCAGGTCTGGCACTTGTGAGGCTTCTCGGACGTATGAATGATCTTGTGACGGCACAGAGTCGACGCCTGCCGGAATCCCTTGCCGCACACTTTGCATACGAAGGGCCGGGCTCCGGTGTGCACGGGCATATGGCGCGTCAGATTGTAGTGGGCGTTGAAGACCTTTCCACACTCCAGGCATGAGAAGGTCTTTGGCTTGCCGCCATTGGCCGAGCCGGGGCTGCTGTCTTCTATGGATCCGTGCGGAGAGGGGGATCGCGGCGAGCGAGATCGGGAGCGATTGGAGCCGCTAGCTGCAGGGGCAGATCCCGCCGGAGGTGGGGTGACCTCGCCCTGGACCTGCGGTGATCGTTTGCGTTTCAGGTTAGCCTGCTGACTGGCCCCGCTGGATGCCCTCTGTGCCACCGGCGACTTCTCCAGACTTTGCTGCAGATTCGGCACCACTGCCTGGGACTGAGCCACTGCCGCTGCGGCGGCTGCTGCGGCCAAAGGATGCCCCAGGTTGCGGCGCAGGGACTGTGAGTGGTGGAGACTGGCATTCAGGGAGGCTGTGAAGCTGCTTAGGTGGGTCAGTGACTGCTGCTGGGCGGTCAGGGCGGCGTACTGCGGCGGCGGCGGCGCGCACACATCAGCTGGTTTGGGGCATAGTACAGAAGGGGGTACTGGGAGAGCAGCTCCTGGTGGCGGGTGTTCACGAATTGCTGCACAGCTGTGGCCGAGTTGGTGGCGCCTCCACATGTAGCCGGCACATACTTCTTGAAAGCGGAATCGTAGTTCACCGGCGACTGCTCCAGGCTGGTCACCTCAATGGGGCTGCAGGATCGCTCCGAATCGGCATCGATTTCGGGATCTTCTTCTTCCTCGTTGTCGTCCTGCAACATAGAGGATGGGGGCAGCTGCGGTGGGGGAGGCGGCGCTACTGCCACCTGACTGGGCTTGTGGTCCGGCTCCATGATCTTGGCGATCGAAAACTTCAAGGGACATGCCCGCTTAGCACTCTGCTCCGCCGGGGCCTGGCCGGGATTCTGGTCAGAGGCGGCACTCTCCATGACAGGGCTCTTCGAGGGCGGCATCATTGCGACTTCTCCCGCTGGACTACACGGTTGCATGCCACGCGGACTCTGCAATCGAAAGAGGCAAAAGAATGGGGTTAAAAATTGAGTATGCAAAACTTAGCAACGGGTTATCAATTAATCGAAGGACACGCCTCCTTTGTTTGTGCCAAAAACCGCACAGCAGCGGGTAGCAGGATTATTTAAATATTTAAACTCTGTTTTTTATCAGAAATTTACCCCAAAAATTCGACGGAAATTATGCGAATGCCCCCCGGTGTACCTATATAGGCTCTGAATGCGGTCCAGTCAAGTGCAAGTAATGTGGAAACACATAAACAAACGCCAGCGGAGGGCGTGCTCCCACCGGCAGGACATTTACCCTTGGATCATTCATGGCCAGTCAGCGGGTTGCAATTAAAAGCGACCGCAATGCGTTTCATAATATTCCCAATCGATTTTGCATATTCCCGTGCTTTGCATTTAACCCGTGCTTTGCATTTAACCCGTGCTTGTCCCCGCCTCACGGTCCACTTAACCCAAACAAAGCCGGGCCTCAATCCTTTGGCCCAATCCTTTACCGCAAGCAGCATATTGCCATCAATCATAACATTCTTTATGTATTATTATTTTTGGCGCGGGTCTTGGGTTTATTCGCACATCATTAAATCGCTTATACTCGAATGCAAGTGTAAGAATCCGACCTCGGGTTTGGGTTCCGTTTTCTCCATCTTCCCCATGTGCCCTCGAGTGTGGCTAATGTGCGACATCCGTTGCGATTACCGACTTCCTTACCGATTTTAATTAACTTGATTTGACGCCTCACCAAGTAAGTCCCGCCACGTCAAGCTCCTCGCCAAGTCTGGAAATCAGCCTCTGGCAGTGCCATTTAATCTTATTAAAACAAAAAAGGGGGCGTAGCCCGTTTCACACGCTGACCCGGAGGCAGCAACGGTCAGCCCTCGATTCGGAACTTTCATCCAGACTATAGTGCCATAACTACACAAGTTTTGGGGCAGTTTTCTTTTTGAAGAGCCCGAATTAGGCTGGTGTTCTAGTGGCCACTTTAGAAATCACTCTCGAGGAGTGTGAATATGTGGAATCAAGCTTATTAACAATGTGTGGGCTCTTATAAAGATAGAAAGATTTGGGGAATAATTTTGTCTCAAGTTGAGTTCAGAATTAGGTTTTGGAAGAGCTTAAACTTTGGGAAAGGCATATCGGTTGTATGAAGTTGTGTTTGACTTTGTCTAATAGAGACCTTATATTTTGGAACCCATTTAGTTATTCTCTTAAAGAAATAATAGTTGTTAAAGGATTTAATATATGTACTTCATATATGAAAGATCTTTATCTAGGTTGTTGAACCAGATTTGAATATTTTTTCCCAAATAAACCTTCATTGCCTTTAGTTTTTATAATAAAATCTTCTTTATAGATATCACGATAGACAACTTACAATAGACATCTTCATAGTAGGACATATTTATAAGAAATAAAAACTTTTATATTCCCATAAAGTATTTTTTAAGTTCAAACTATGATAATACCATACTTTCTATTTTTAAAATATTATTTGATTAAAAAACACAAAAACATTAAGTATACGCACTGATCCCCCAACGTATTCCCTATTTCACAATTTCCGACGGCATTATCACAAATAAAACAATTTTCCCTTAAATTTAACAAAAATATTAAAAAATACGTACAAAGTAAACCATATTTAGGCGCTGCCTATATGAGTATCCAATTCCTTGGGCAGGAGAAGACCAGTCTCCGCGGATGTATAAGGATATTTATCAAGACACACACTTATATTTCAGGTTAAAGTTCACTTGTTTCGTAAAAAGATATATTTGTATTATTTTTTCGTCTGTTAGTCTGTGGAATTCAAATGCAAATTCCGAAAAGGCGAAACGCGAAAAACAGGACGCGTTCAGGATGCGTTCAGCACAGGATAAGCGACCGAAGCGGAATGAAGGCAAACATCGAGCGGTGCGGGCCTTAAGAAATATGAAAAGGACACACACTGAGGTCGGAGGGTTGCCCCTGGAATCAACCCCTATAACTCTGCCAACTAGTATCCTTTTGGCCAGAGTGAGAGAGGGCATCCCGCTAAAAAAAGAGAGACAAATACTTGGCAAATGGCAGAGCGAGACGGATTGATGGACCGACAGGCAAAAGGAGAACTTCATCATCATGTTCAGATTGGATGGCACATATCCTGACGTCGACGGCGGCAGCGACGTTTGCAGAGCATTATGAATGAAAGGACAAAATGTCGAATTGGAATATTATGATGAAAGAGAGAGGGCGAGCCAAAGAGCGGGAGGGGTGTTCTGAACGTAAAGATACCGCCCCTAAAATATTTATATAGAGATAATGCTGAAGAGTCCATTCCGGAGAGAGGAAGAGGCTACATGGGGAAAGAGATAGCGAGCGTTGGAGAGCAACCTTTGCCCGGATTCCGTTCACACTTGATTTGGATGTGATGCAGACACCAAAAAATGGCAGCCACCAGACCAGGCTCCCTCGCAAGTTGACTTTTTGCACTACTCTATGTAGCCCAACCCCGAATTCTCGAATCCTTGAATCCTCGAAACCCCGATCCCCCTAATTCCCCCCCTTTGGACAGTCTCTGCCTTTTGTTGGGCGTTTCAATTGTCGTTTTGGCATTTCGTTTTATCAGCGTCTTTGTTTGCTCACCTTTAGCCCGCCAGCGGGCAAGGATTCTCTGGCAGACACATACCCATATCCTTGTAGTCCGAAACACGAAAAGAATGGTACTAGCTAGCATAAAATAAAGGATATTATACACAAACTATGTAAAATTATTTAAAAATTAAATGAAAACAATACTTGAAGTATTAAAGATCCCTAAAAAAAATATACCCAAGAAAAACTGATGACTTTCTTTAATCCTTCATCACTGGATTTATTAAATCACCATATATATCATAAACCATTTAATCTTAAATAATCATTTTTCAAATGGTTTTATATTTATATCCTTTATATAAGATCCTTAAAAAAAATTATACCGAAGAAACCCTGATAACTTTTTTAAATCCTTCATTCCTGGATTTGTTAAATCACCATAAATATCTTAAACTATGTCCAATTTCTACCATTTTATGTTAAATATTTTTAAAATGGTTTTATCTTATCATATCCTTCTAAGTTTTAACACTTCAGTATCCCTGAAACCCGGCACTAGTCAAATATAATTTCATATTCATTTTGACGATGTCTCCAGAGCGGCTTTCTTGACTTTGTTTGCTTTTGGAGCGTTTGTCATCCTTCTGTTGCTGCTGCCTGCCCGCTACTCCCCCTGACAAGGACCAAAGCCAGGACCAAAGTCCTAGGACCTTGGTTGGGCATTGCAATGCACATCGCTGCCGTGGCTGCCTTGGCTGGAGTTGAGTTGAGCAGTTGCAGCTACAGAATCGCACAAAAGCACAACCCTTCAGGGACTCCGCAAGGGACAAGAGGATAACGGGGGATCCTTGGCCGCCATTTTCAATGCATTTTCAGGTAAACTTGCTCATTGTGTTGGTTTTGTGTAAGGAAATCGATATGTAAATAGGATTTCTTTGTTGATTAGATAGCCGAAATGGAAGAGCATCTCTGTGGGAATATCAGTTTATTAAATAAAAAGTAAAATAGCCTATGAAATGCACAAAAAGGTCAAAGCTTAATTCACATTGACATTGGATAACTATCAAGTCGTGAGCACTTGTTTGTTGAAAACTCATGTCTGAGTGCTTTTTAAACAAACTCACATGTCACTCATCATAAAAAGCCCGGCTGCTGATAATCGCAATTATGGCCAAAGAACCAAAAACAACAGCGTTATTAACTGGAAACGAAATGACCTGCACACGATGCAGAAATGTGCAATCTGCATTTAGTTGAATAAATAAAAATACAAAAAAAAAATATATATATCAACAACAAGGACAGCATAAATAACAACAAACTGGACATTCAACAAACAAAATGTCACAGGCCTCTAAAGCTCAATACACTGAAAGAAAGATTATGCCTATCTTTTAATATAAAAGCTATAAACGCAATTTAATATATCATTTAAAAATATTAATTAACAACAATATACTGTTGTATTTCCTGTTCAAAAGTTAGGACTACATTTTTTAGACGTACTTTTTTCGCTTTCTTCTATCTCTTCTCCTTTCACCTAATCTCTCCTGCTATCTCTGACCATTTTTTATCTCTGTTTTTCCGCATTCATTCAAAGGACATGCAAGCATGACCAAACACACACTTTCAAAGGAGAGGATGCTGGAAGCAGAGACCAAGCTGGGGAGCAGGTGGGAAGCTGGGGCACTGTAGAAAGGTGGCAAGGCTAAAAAGAGGCGGTCAGAGTGGACTAACTGTAAATGCAGAGCAGCACAGAACGAACTAAGCTTTAGGAACAACAACAATTACAACTATGACGAGAGAAAAAGGACTTGAAAATCCTGCAAAATGTGCAAAAATAAAATATCAAAGCAAAAAGCAAAGGGATGCAAATAGTGCAGAGTGCAATGGTAAATAAACGAGTGAAAAAGAGAGGGTAAAAGTGTGCAATTTAAAAAAAAATGCCTTTTTTCAGACAAGCTCTGCGCTTTTTTTTGTTTAATTTTTAATGAGTTTACAAAATGGCTAAAGTGAACCTTTTTTTAATATATTTTAAAGTTTAAGATGTATTATTTCTCACAAGGTTGTTAAGCTTAGAGAAGTTTTTTATATTTTGAAAAATATTATTTAGTTCAAGTTCCAAATACTTTGTAATATGCCAAGTCCAATGTATTCTGCCTTTAATCAACACCTCATAGATGTAGTCTTCCCTACGCCCCCTGACTGCTCTACTAAACCAATAAAATAGTTTCGCATTTCTCGCACCTCATCGAAAAATTAACCTTAAAATTGAAGATTTACACCTCCGGATGGGAGAGGGGCTGGGTCTTTTCAGCTGATGCCAGATTGCAGCTGAGATTTGGCCGAGTTTTTCCTTGGAAAATAGAATCAATTCTATGGGTAATAGAGAACACGGCTTGCATAATCTGCGGTAAGCCAGAAGCGATTACAAGCCATTGAACAAGGGGACGGCCTATACTGCGTATCCATGAGATACATTCACTATCCTAAGCATGCGTAAGCATCGGTCCTACTACATAAATGCATTCATATTCATATACGCATATATGTGTAACTAGGACGAAAACACGGATGGACAATGGCCGGCGATGAGAGGCCTCTCAAAGGGAAACTCAACAGCTGCCCGGGGATTCGTCCTTTTCGTCCTTTTGTGGCCGTGTGGGTGAGCGCGTTTCCAGGGGCAGTCGTATATCCGATTTGCGAATGAAACAATTGCGGTGTTTGACCAATTTTACAATTGATGTAATCCCCCAAATCGCCTATATTAGCGCTGAGCGGCTTCAGTATCCTTGCCTCCATTACGATTGTCAAATTGAAATGTTTTCAGTTCATTCAAGAGTAAACACAGGCACATGTGAAACCAGGTACACATAGAGAAATAAATGTATTTAATATTTGAGTTTGAGAATTTTAAAAATATCTAATGAAATAGGAAAGAAGAATAGGAAGATAAGTTTTTATTTATGTATAGATATATTTTATAAAATAAATAAAATATTTGTAACTCAAGACAACAACCGTAATGTAACCTAAAGTAGGTGATGTGAATATTTTCTAAAAGGTTTATATTCAGATGTTTTCTTGAATATCCTTTCAGTAGCTTAGGCTGTTATGTAGAGGCATTCTTTTAAGGATGTTAAGAATAGAAATCGAACAATTTCTTTTAAGATATTTTTAAATAATTTTTCCTATGTGTACCACTTTGTTTATGTGGGTTACGCTTCTGTAGGTTTGTAATAATATTTTGCTAACCTTCTTTTGCGCCCATGGAAAAAAAGTTCAAAAGGATCTCGACCGCTCTGCTTTTGTGCCTGCGTGTCCTGCGATTTTCACCGATTACCGATTACCGACACAGATTAAGGGATGTTCCCAAACAATTGGCAGGTTCTCTTGGTCTTGGTCTTGGTCCCGCTCTGCATTCTGTCGGGATTCTGTCGTTCTAGGTTCCTGGATTCTTTTGCTTCCTTCATAGGCGCGCAATTAGACGAGTTTCGTCCTTTGTCCGCTACCGGTCACACAGACAGATTTCCTTCGGCCTTCCTTCGATCGTCCTTTGATCCGTTCTATCCTTAAATCTGTTCACTCGACCATGTACTCCTCCGTGCACTTCTCCGGGCGATTCTTTTGCTTTTGGTGATTTGCCATTGTGTCGCGCGTATTTGGCGCGTTTAAATAGATTAACCGCCTGGCAATTTGCAAGGTTCCTATCTCGGATCCAGGATCTCCTACCTACAGGAACTTCTGCTGCCGTCCCTCTCTAGCTCTGTCTTTCCTTTTTTACAATTAGCTGCGGCCGCCTCCTTTGTTTGCCATCTTAATCTTGAGTAAATTAGTTCATTAAGAGGTTAATTCCCCATAACACCCACAAATTAGACTACCAGTGGCTGGTCAGGCACTCCTGGGTTCCTGCATACTTTTTTCCCAGACCGTAGTAGGGTATTGTTTGATTGCTTTATGGCTATCCTGCAGTTGACAGACCATCCTAGCAATTATTTTATATTTTTTATTCCCACCAAACTGATTAATCAGTTGACCGACTAATCGTCTAATCGCATCTTAAATTTGTAAACATCCTAAAAATGCATTTGACACTTTCCCAGATTCATTCGAAACTTTTTAGATTCTCAAACCTATTCGAAATCCTTTTGGAAATAATTTTTTAATTGACACTAATAGGCTTAAGCAGGCATTCCATAAAAAGATGGAAGCCTTTTGCGGAGTCGCGTGACCCACAAAACGATGTCACCATCTACTTAATCGGAAGTCCTGCCAAAAAAAAAAGTGGGAATACGTGTAGTCCTGTTGA